CCGAGTGAAATTGAATGAAGCGTTCGAATGATATCTTCCTGTCTTCCAGTGTTGCAATGTTAAACCCCACTTCAACGGAATGACACAATAATTGTGCTGTCTGTACAGACTGTGGCTTCAAGAGTTGCTGTTTACTTCGGGTATTCTAGCCATCCTCAGTGGAATGGCTATGCTTTGTTCAGGGATCACCATGCCAGGTTTCCAAGGTTCAGGTAGAAATATACACATACGCATACAAATTAGATGATACCAGTCACATGTTTCGATATGACCCCCAGGTGAATTCCGAGTGAAGACCCCCACGCGAGAACTGGTTATTTTCGGCCGGTCAGCAGCCAGTCTGTGCTGAGAAACTTAGGTGGTCCGTCGCGGTCACTTTTGTGGTTTTTGACTATGAATCTCTTGAAGAACAACATGGATAGCAATTTCGGTACTTGAAAGAACAACCTAATCGCTCATTCGGAACATCTTTTTGGTACCATGTCACCCGAAAAAAGTACGGGGGCTGAGATATCTTCAGGCTACCCAAGCCTAAACCGTTGCAGTCGAAGTGCTGAACCTTCTCTACCTTCGGGTCAGTAAGTTCACATCCTAACCACTGAGCCAGCTCTACAATCGGCTGCTGTTAGTAGAATAAAGATATCCGGACACAACCAACTCATCACTGCTTTCTCTCGTTAATCGAGAAGCTTTCGACGATCAGCTTTTGTTCTCATACATGAGTGAAAAGCCCATGGAACCGACTGCTCGATCCGATCTCCTTGTGACGGACAGACCGAATGTGGCTAACAAAGTGATCTGTCTAGAAAAAAAACATTTTGGGAGTTGCTTGATCCCCCCCCCCCGCATGAGAATTCGTCACAGTCAACAGGTGATTGAAGGGTGAGTGGCGCCCCACACTGTCTAGGTGGGAGTTGATCACATTGGTGAACAGCCGCTCGTTGCCGAACGGTTAAGTGCTCAAACTATGAGCTGAGGGTCGGGGGTCCGAAACTCCTTAGTGGAGTTTCGTCAGATGCGCATTGCTACTGATTTCCAGTAACGATGAAGCAGCCGTACACCGTTTCTCGGCTTTTCAGTATAAAGTGAATGAGCCGTCGGAATGAAATTTCCGCCAAAAAATGACAGTACCGATAATACAAATCCATAACCCCAATCGACACTGATGTGTCCTGCATCGACTGCGTTCCATTCTATCCTCTCGTGAATACTTTTGCTTTTTGAGGCCCGATACTTTTTATTTAGGTTTTGGGGACCGGAAGGTACCTCGTGTAAATAGTCGAAAGACTTATCTCGACCTTCACTGCACTGATCACATGGTCAAAATCAGACCTAGTGGGCTTAGACATATAGGCTGGTCAGTTCGAAATACATACAAATTCGAGAGCACATTGCTCCATTCGAGTGGGTTATGTATCTTGTCAAATTCACCTGGTGAGTCTGGCAAGCCGTAGGCTTGTGCACAACGAACGACATCTACCCTTTCTTCCTGATTGTTTTGCATATTTTGAGCGCTTCCTGTTCACTTTCACCAGTTTGCACCTGATCCTCACCACAGTAAAACATCATGAGCTTATCTTGTGGCAAACTTAGAACTTTCACAAGACTTTACCGAACTGCTTTTGTCAGATTGACCACATCCGTTTTAGTTACGTCTTGCATGTCTGTTTAAACGTTTTACTACCAGAGTAACAATGAACGAATCGTCCTAATATCGCACAGTTTCCGCGTGCACTCGGTAAGCAACCCATAGATATGAAGCCTGCGATTTTATCATCTTCTCCAGACACAGTTGATAAATCAGAGAAGGCTAGATCCACCGAACTGCATATCCGGTAGTTTGCGTTCTCTGGTCTCCCTGTGGTCTGTGGCACATCAATCCTCTTACCTTACTGTTTAGTTGATCAATCATGCACCCAAAGACTGAAGTTCCTCAACCTCATCTCCAGTTCAGTTCACTTGGATTTTAGGGTTTTTTCTACCGGCTACTGTGCCAATGTATCTCACAGTCTAGGCGTAACACCATACTCATCAGTTTGCTGAAAACTCTTCGAAAGACCACGCCCACCTGATGAGCCCCAAGAAAGAGCGAAACCTGTCGTGGGCTGTTGAAGAATTTTCAGCAACCTTACGAGTAGTGTGTTGCGTCTAGATAACTATGCATTAGGATTGCTGGAATGTCGTACCAATTGAAACATGAGGTAGCCTAGTGCAATGCATTCAGTTGAAGCGTTAGATTCGACTGCATTCAATTGATTCTCCTATGAAAAGTAAATTTATGTGCAAATGAGAATATTCGTCGAAATCTACTATTCAAATTGATTACTCATTTGAGTAATTAGAGCCACTGCATCGTTTAGGTTTGAAGCAGGGACCCGAGTTGACCCCTGTACAGACTAATTAGGCCTCTTTATGTAAATATATGTGAGCTGCAGTCAGGCATCTCTCGATGAAAGTAGAGGTGTTACTACCTTTAAATGGCAAATACAGATCGATCTGTGGGACAGGTGAGTCAAATATCGAGGACCTATCTCTGTCTGAGATGACTGTCAACGAGTCAGCGGGATCCCAGTTTCCAGCAGTGCGCCTGTCAGTTGCTACATCTCCTGAGGCATCTAGCCATCTCTTTCTATCAGGTTTTTATTCGTTAATACACGTTTACGAAGTGCGCGGTTTCGTCCAGCTGGTGCGAAACGTTTCAGCCGCAGGTACTCTCTTATCCGTGTGACCATGAGGCATCTAGCCATCTCTTTCTATCAGGCTTTTGTTCGTTAATACACGTTTACGAAGTGCACGGTTTCGTCCAGCTGGTGCAAAACGTTTTTACCGCAGGTACTCTCTTGTCTGTGTGACCGTTTTATGTGTAACATGTGTGATGAGGATTTGCTATGGTGCTTAGGTATGAGATGGCGTAATTTGATTTGAATTCACAATGATATTGAGATGCTTCTTGGCTTTGTTGAGTAGGTGGTCAAGTTCTAACACCTGATTACAATCATCACATATTTTGGAGGGGATGTCGGAACTGTAGTGATGGGTCTGGTAAAACAGTTATGACCAAATTTGATTTGAATTCACAATGATATTGAGATGCTTCTTGGCTTTGTTGAGTAAGTGGTCAAGTTCTAACATCTGATTACAATCATCACATATTTTGGAGGGGATGTCGGAACTGTAGTGATAGGTCTGGTCAAACACGTTCTCCCAAAGTTATGACCATAAACATGTCTGCTGGAATCTCGTCCGCTGCGTGGTTATCGCGCCTCGTCCACCTGGTTAGTTCTCTCTGGCGAAGAGACAGCTGTTGCTAGGAGTCCCATAAATCAGGACATCAGTGAATGGAAACGGAACGTCAACTAGAGACATTAGGGTAATTGTCGTAAACGAAACCTCCAAAAGGTCGGCGCGGCATTATCCATTGACCACGGCACTAAGGGACGCCTTCTCGGAGAACGCCAAGTGTTTTGTCCTAGTAACCTTCTGTCAGGATTCATGATAGAAGAATCTTCTTCCGTCAGCTAGGTTTTTAGTGTTTTGTGGTACGGCGCGCAAGTGTATCAGAAGAGAGTCCAGATTTCTCCAATGTCACCACCAAATTTCTTTGTGGTGGACTTTCTGTGACTGTGTTGCCCAGTTTGTGAATAATGAATTTGACCTTTTTCGAACTGTGTCATTTGCCCTGATTCACCTGTATCGCAATTACCGCAAAGCTACTGTGATAACCTTCTGGCGTTTTACGTTACATTTCTGTTAGGTAACCAATCGCGTTTCCATCTCCACATACTAACAACCAACAATATTCCGTCTGTTCACTGCATAATGCAAAAGCTGTATCTCCTATTTGTTCCCATTTTGCGTTGGTGTTTCACATGCGTCCTCCATTTTTGTCCTTCAAAAGTCACCGAAACTTGCGTGAGAATTAACACACACACACACACACACACACAAGATGTATGCCTCAGCAACATGTCACCCGTCCTCCTCGACCCGCCTGGACAGACATGTAGTAAGTAGTCGGTCGTTGGCTTGTTCGCCACCGCTACGCACAACTACGCACTGATGATGTCACCTCGATTGGTGATGAAACGTTTGCAACCAAATTGCCCAGCTCAGCGAACAAGCCAACGACCATCTACGCTACCTGAGCTACCGACACTCTCCTCTATAGAAAATGTAGTAAGTAGGTCTAACTACTATAGAACCATGCAGAGTACAGTGTCCTGACAACGGATGCAGAATCCGAAGAAAGTGGGTATGCTGTAGAACGGCTCATTGGTCTTTGGAAAACGGTCAGAAGCAAGGTAATGCATCTTCAGACGATACTGAAGAATGCAGATGACCTAGCCTCAATTTAGATTGAACCGACAACATCAGGCCTAGTCTACAAACTTTGTTGGTTTTAGATACGTTCCACATCCACAAGCAAAATTAGGCTTTGTATTCAATCTAATGCATAACGACATGTGCTCTGCTGGGACCAATCAAACGTCGTTCTTTGTACAGTTTCCAACCGAAAGTAAGGGAACCTCAGAGGGCGGCACAAAGGTCCCGCTGTGCTTAGGATTAATTCGTCTACTCTGAACACCTTAATGCTTAAAAGAGATAGCAGACTTAACTCATGTACATCCAATCATGTGATGTATGAATATTATTCATCACCGTCCTTGGATTCCCTTTTTGTACAGACCGAGGATTGCTTTCAATACAATCACGTATAGAATTGGTGAACAGAGCCGTGACAGTGTACAACATATCGTACATGCTGTCGCATATGTAGCAAAAATAAAGCTTGACGATATGGGGACATGTGACACAATGTCGACAGATTGGCCGGTCAACGCCGAACGAGTTGCCCCTAAAAATCTTTCATGCGTTATAGTTCACAACTTGGCTATCTGTTTTTGAACCGTGATTAATGATCTAACTGAAGTCTAATAAGCTTAATGAATTTCTCCTATTCCATTATCCATTACATCGCTTTCTTCTACATCCATTTACAGGCCGACCGAATTGTCCATTGCCAGGAGGCAACTGCCCCAACTGCATTTATCTGCCTGATAAACCGCCTTTTAACAGCAGTCCCCGTCCCCAACCCTTCAGTCCCCGACACCGCTCCCCATGTCCCAACACCCAAGGGCGATTGTGCTCCCTCGCAAACTGAGCCGCCAGTTTCCAGTTTGCAGGCCGCCCGCACTCTGGTCTCCAAGATCGGAACCTATGGGTTAGATGTGTCCCTGATTCGTCTATTGGCCGCACAACTTTTGACCCCCGTCGAACTAGACACTATGTCCTCTTCTCAAAATGCGATCAAATCACAAGGAACTGTTGCTTCGCTTCTTTGTTTGAATCTTCTTCATCTTATCCCCTTATTGTTGCGTTGGTCTAAAGAGTCACGACCCAGTCATCTGATTATCGATCTGCGTTTGCTGGAGCTGATTGCAATTGCTTGTTTGGAACTTGGATCTCTTCTTCTTCCTCACTCGTCTGTGCCCGTCGATCAAGACGAAGTTGGTCCTCGTCGAACTAAGAGTAGCACCACCGGTCCCCAGAGTTCGACAAAAGTACGTATTTTTATAGCCTCTCATCCCCGTTTTTTTTCAATTACAATTAGTAAACTTGTTTGCTTACGGATATCATGTGACAGTTGGCTGACGCTTCTTGTTCTCTTACTAATCGGTTACTAATTTGGTATTTTACACTGGCTTCATAGTCGACTCGCGTGGCATAAAACTGATTTTGCTCTCATTTGGGTTGTACTGGTAGATCCCTGCAGGATCCGAGGTCTCGATAGCAGTTGTAATGATATGTTTCCCAGCTTAGTTCTTGATCTGAATCTTCTAAGCTAGCGTCTCAGTCAAAACTACCACCAAAGGTGCACAGCGTGTATTCAAACTATATTGAAAGTACTTGCATAGCGCGTTGGGTATAAGGTATATCTCGCGACAACATTCCGGAAATTCTTGCTTCTGGCATTGTCAACCGGCATTCGGCCCTGGGTCATTCTCGTCTGTTGGGTTCATAATTTCGACCAATCAGAGCTTGCCTTGATGTCGGACCGGCAACGGCCCGAACTTTTCGCCAATCATGTGCGGGATACGCTTCTCGGCCGTAGCAGCGCCTAACTGCGAGTGGCATCGGTGTGGAATTCAGCATAACAGTAACAGATGTACTTCTCCCTGTTTTAGCAGACTACTAAAATTATCTTCCTTATGCAATATCTCATAGCGTATACAGCATTGTATGCGACAACTTCGGAAGCTTAGAGCTGGATTTTGAAATCCATGCTTTGTAAGGTCCCGGACGATCTATCGTTTCACAGTCGACTGAGTAGTGTTCAGCTGTTCACTCTCGAGACTGTTCATTGCTAGTTGGAGTTGGTTTAAGAACCATCCTCAAATCCACTTCACGTTCATCGATCTGTTACCACAATGCGCTAGTTTGACATCTGCCGATCGATCTGTTTGGCGGAATCACTGGATCAAGTCGTGCTCAATGGAATAACAAGTCCAAGCGACTGTTCTACTTCTACCTGCTACTTGTCTTCCATGTGAGAACAAAACGGTTAGGTGATGTATGTTATTCGTAAGGATGTTCCTGAGATGACGATCTGTTTGGTGAGTCTGTGATGATTTGTGGCGTCTATAATGCGTTTCGAAAGGCCACGTACAGACTATCCGACGCAACTTTCAGGCTACCGTTCTTGAGGCAATGATTTTATGACAGATTTTGGCTTCCGTGTGGTCCTACAAGCGGTTTCCCCAAGACAACTTGGTCCAGGGAACATCTCCTTTTAGGAATCCTCGGTATTTGGTGAAACCCCAACGTGATTTGAACCCGCGACCTTAAGATTAACGGTTGGACGCGATACTACATGACCTGATTTGCGTGTCTGAAAGATGGGGGATTCTGTCGTGCTGATGTGTGATTTGACTGCACTGTAGCTCAGCCACTTTGAGTCGAATGGCTAGTGGCTACCAACCGCTAGAGTACGGTTTCGAAACTAACTGGACACTCGTGAGATACACAATGTTGATGACGCCCAACTAGGATGAAGCAGCTGTGTACTACGCCTTTACTTTGCGGTGTTTAAGCGCGCTTTTGTATACTTTAAGCAACACGTACGGTGAACCGCATCCCTCATGGTGTCTGAAGCTTTGACGATCGTGGATGTCTACCATGATGGATGGCAGGCACAGCTGATGAGCCTTCTACTCTCGCAAATGAACGCTCCACTAATGAACAGTCGTTGTTCTGAAACACCATATTCCAATCGGGAACAGTATGGCCTTCTTTCAAGAGCAAAGAACTCTTCTTGAAAAATAGTCAACATACTCCAGAGGGTTTTCTATTGGAGTCCAATGGGACATTCACGAAAGGCAGCCACACCAAAGAATCAAAACTGATAATTATGGTGTTTTAGTGAATTACTGATTTGGACATCAGGGATGTAGCCCGTTCCCGAGTGTTTTACCCCTGAGTGGGTCTCAAGAGGTGGACTAAACGTGACCACTCGACTGCGGATTTCAGAACCGCACCTCCCTCTACCGTTGTTGGGTAAGTTACAAGTGAGCCTTGAGATAATCCGCCTTGAAAGTTCAGATTGTGTGACCTTCACTGGCAATTGCTTTCTTCGCACTAGAAATTCCACTCACCGCACTGGACGAGCCTCAGTAAACAAGACTCTCCTTGTGGTTGAACTTCTCTGGAACGGACCACAGCCGGTCAACCTCCGGGCCCATGGTTTAGCGATTATCTAGTCCTTTTGAACATTTGAACAGTGTTCACTGATAGACACCGGTCAGATTGTTTATCTGTCCGTCTTCGCTGAAGACCTCGCAGCTAATTAGATGCTCATAATAGAAGTATGTTAGGATAACTGAACCACATAAGGATATTCAACAACATTGGGACTCACTCTTCCCAGCGGAAAGATATCCCGCTCCGATTGACCGTTAAACATGATAGCAGTCCACCAGTGATTGGGTTACGCCGATCAAGAAGTGTGTCGTTAACTTGACTATGAACTTTTTGTCGCTGCTCCAACGTCATGCCAGCCTGGGCGGTTAAAATTGTTTTTCCTGATAAGACAACCCCGCCGTCTTCTGAATTTCTCATGTTCAATCAAATTTTGATTTGTGATGCTCGAATCAATGCCATCTCTTACGGATTCATGATGCCATTGTGTATGGTGAATATACCGGGAAAAATCAGTGAATTCCTGCCACCTGTTGCGATGAGTTTTTCTGGAAACTCAACCACTTGAGTGTAGTTCACTGTCATCTTCAAGCCATTACAACCTACTACTGACTGTATCCTACCTTCATAATTGTAATGTTTCTTCTACAGGCCACAAGTAAAACGTGTTCTTCTGCACCTGGCAAGCGCACTCCACGGAAGCCATTGACTGGCCAGACCTATTCTGCATCTACTCAACTCCATGTATCCATGCTAGCTGGCCTGGAAGCCATGAATGCCTTGTTGAACCACGTCGCGAACGTGGTCCGAATCGCTCTGGCTGCACGTGCCACAAACACCCCCGAAGGAGAAACTGCTGCAATGGCAGCGGAGGAGGTAAGTATCGGTGTCTGAATACATAGACAGCTCTTTCGGAGTTAAGCACACAAGAAAATAAGAGCTCTCGGGACACTCCCCGATCAGGCTTCCTGTAGTTTTGGACGGTTAAACTTCCCTGGAATTCGCGACCTTGAGCCCAGTTTACTCATCCGCTACTCGGAATAGTTGCCTGTCTGAACTTGTTGTATTGTGGGTGGCCGTCTACTGGTTACGCCTGCACTGAGCCTGCCAGACTAGCCGATAGGGAGACGACAGAAAACTCGGGACACGGCTGTATTGCCAGGACAAAACATACAGAGCGTCTGCGTGAATATATAGGATGACTAAGTGGCTAAATATGGTCGTTCACTTGTTCGCTCCGTACAGCCAATGGCGGTGTTTCGGTCGTGAACACCCTCAGGCCCACTACGGTGGTCGTGTGTTGCTAGGCCGTGTTTGGTGCGATCCGCCGACTCACCTACTTTCCGGACGTGTCGTAGCGATGGGGACCTTGGGGATGCGTCACTCTCTGTCTGGGCGCGCCCTGACAGAACTGAACCATCTACATCCATCTACTCGACTTTTGGAGGTTCTTAGACAATGAGTCTTTTTGGAAGAACTCTATGTACTGAGTGAACTCCAAGCGTGGGTCACTCAAACGCCGCAGTTCTGCAAATCCTGATTTGTCTGGATATGATTCTTGACCAGTGGAGCCTAAGCTCAAACAGACCACTGAAAACAGCCTACATTTTCATAGCAGATTGTCGTCTAGTTACTGTCGTACACCCTCAGTGACGGAAGTCCTTTTTAAAACCTTTCAGAAATTTTCATTTCTCAAAATAAACGAACGCTTTGGCGCTCAGTGGCTGGCTGGCTGGCTGGTTAACAACTCCCTATGGAAATTTTCGGTTTCACTGAGATCACTGTGAGTGCTGACGTGTGCAGGTTTACACCCTGGTGATGAGTCACCGTAATCACACTCTAAGGTTTGAACTATCAGGTGTAAAATGATTACCTGTGTGTGTGTGTGTGTGTTGGGTCTCTGCTAACACGTGCGATATGCCTGAAGAGGGTGTAGCTAAAAACATTGAATGAACGATCCTGTACGATTTCTCGCCATATCGCTAAACTTCGGGCTACAAGCTCATGTTTACAACAGGCTGAGTGTTACGATCACCAACGCGAACTATGATAACTTCACCCGGTGTCACTTTGAGCCGTCGTTAACACGTACGGTTGGTAGGTGGAGGAGAAGCTGGATGGACGTGGTATGTTTTTTGTGACGTAATGTCAGTGCGTAGAATATCGTCATAATGAGTACGGATGTGTGTATCAGTTCATAGGCGACTGATGTTGGCGTCTTGCCTTGTTTTTGTCGGAGGCTTCTAGGACGATAATTTTGGGGGTTATCCAATGGATTATTTCGATGGCTGCTGTTACACCGAATCCTGGGGTACTCCCCTGTGAATGGGGATCAAGATGTACACAAAGTCTATCGTTGCTATGGTGCTATTTGTACTGTTAGCCTGGCTTGGCACACACATGAGTATAGTCTTTCGGCTCCCAGCCAGTGGATGTGGTTACGAAGTGGTTCTGAAATCTACGGCTTAATTGCTCACGTTTAAAGTACTAGCGATGCTTTTTGATTAGGCAGGTTTTGCATGAATTTCATTTGTCACTTGGTCTGGAGATTTGAAAAGATTGTTAAATCGGCTTCCATCATAGACACTAATGTAGTATTTTTGTATGCCCTTCAATAATGGCTTGTTCTTGCTCAAACGTGGACACGTGTCAGGCCGTTGTTGTTGAACCAGACCGATCGATAATTTGGTGACTGCTGAAACAGGACACGATAATACTTTCAACAAGGCTCAAATCCAGGCCTCTTCTAAGTGTTGCGTTTCCTCAAAAGGAGGTGTTATTAGTGCACAGGTGGCGATAGCCATAATACAAATCAGAAGGTGAAGGTGCACTAATAAAAGTTTTTAGTATTTCTGTGACACGTACAAAAATGAATACAATGCGAAAATGGGAGCAAGTCAAAAAGGGAACGTATCGGATGCGAGAGTCCCTTGGTGGAAGTCCGGACGGCGGGAACGTGTTTTTCTCCGCAGTTAGACTGCTACACGTACTCCATGGTTGTCTGTGGACTTGTGGAGAGGTTGACGTCCTGCTCCCTGCGCGCGCGCGAGTCTGTGTCTTGACTGGGTTCGGTTTGCGTTTATGTAGGTCCCAGTGCGTAAACGTGGGCGCGTCGGCACATGATTGGTCGCTACGCTGACTAGGCGGTGCAGACAATCGATGTCCGATGAGTCAGCTTAATGCGACGTGTTTGTGCATATGAGAAAAAAAACAAGCCTCGCGATCCAGTGAGCGGCTGAGTTGAACAGTCAAATATGTGGGTGACTGGGTCGCTACAGCTACTCCCCCTCCAGCGAAAGAGGAAAATAGATGCGGAAGACATCCAACAGCATCGAGTGAGCATGGTCGAATCGGTAGTCCGAAGTGGGAAAGGTACCGATGTGAGTGTAAGTATGGCGAAGTATCTTTGAACGTTGACATTATAGACAAAGCCTTGTCCATGAACGTATGTCTTTGTTCATATTCGCCATAAGAAACGTCGAATAAAGAGTTTCAGAGATGAGAGTCCGTCGGGGGTTGAAATGTAATGTAGAACATGAAAAAAACTTGCCAGCGCATTGCTGATGGAGCGAGTGGATGCATGAAGTAGTTCCAGAATGATGGAAGATGGACAGACGCGGCATCGATATTTGGCTGAGTTAATAGGGGGGTTGGTGACTGAGCCGTAGGAGTGTCAGACATGAGTAGAAATATGAATATATGGGAGTCCAAATGAATAATTGTCAGGATTTACCTGAGTTCAGTCACGTCAGGCTCACCAGTTATTAGTGCACAGGTGACGATAGCCATAATACAAATCAGAAGGTGAATGTGCACTAATAAAAGCTTTTAGTATTTCTGCGACACGTATAAAAATAAATACAATGTGAAATGGGAGCAAGTCAAAAAGGGAACTTATCGGATGCGAGAGTCCCTTGGTGGAAGTCCGGACGGCGGGAACGTGTTTTTCTCCGCAGTTAGACTGCTACACGTACTCCATGGTTGTCCGTGGACTTGTGGAGAGGTTGACGTCCTGCTCCCTGCGCGCGCGCGAGTCTGTGTCTTGACTGGGTTCGGTTTGCGTTTATGTAGGTCCCAGTGCGTAAACGTGGGCGCGTCGGCACATGATTGGTCGCTACGCTGACTAGGCGGTGCAGACAATCGATGTCCGATGAGTCAGCTTAATGCGACGTGTTTGTGCATATGAGAAAAAAAACAAGCCTCGCGATCCAGTGAGCGGCTGAGTTGAACAGTCAAATATGTGGGTGACTGGGTCGCTACAGCTACTCCCCCTCCAGCGAAAGAGGAAAATAGATGCGGAAGACATCCAACAGCATCGAGTGAGCATGGTCGAATCGGTAGTCCGAAGTGGGAAAGGTACCGATGTGAGTGTAAGTATGGCGAAGTATCTTTGAACGTTGACATTATAGACAAAGCCTTGTCCATGAACGTATGTCTTTGTTCATATTCGCCATAAGAAACGTCGAATAAAGAGTTTCAGAGATGAGAGTCCGTCGGGGGTTGAAATGTAATGTAGAACATGAAAAAAAACTTGCCAGCGCATTGCTGATGGAGCGAGTGGATGCATGAAGTAGTTCCAGAATGATGGAAGATGGACAGACGCGGCATCGATATTTGGCTGAGGTAATAGGGGGTTGGTGACTGAGCCGTAGGAGTGTCAGACATGAGTAGAAATATGAATATATGGGAGTCCAATGGAATAATTGTCAGGATTTACCTGAGTTCAGTCACGTCGGGCTCACCAATTATTAGTGCACAGGTGACGATAGCCATAATACAAATCAGAAGGTGAATGTGCACTAATAAAAGCTTTTAGTATTTCTGCGACACGTATAAAAATAAATACAATGTGAAATGGGAGCAAGTCAAAAAGGGAACTTATCGGATGCGAGAGTCCCTTGGTGGAAGTCCGGACGGCGGGAACGTGTTTTTCTCCGCAGTTCGACTGCTACACGTACTCCATGGTTGTCCGTGGACTTGTGGAGAGGTTGACGTCCTGCTCCCTGCGCGCGCGCGAGTCTGTGTGTCTTGACTGGGTTCGGTTTGCCTTTATGTAGGTCCCAGTGCGTGTATGTGGGCGCGTCGGCACATGAGTGGTTGCTGCGCTGACTAGGCGGTGCAGACAATCGATGTCCGATGTGTCAGCTTAATGCGACGTGTTTGTGCGTATGAGAAAAAGACAAGCCTCGCGATCCAGTGAGCGACTGTGAGTTGAACAGTCAGGTATGTGGGTGACTGGGTCGCTACAGTGTCACTTTTTGGTGCACGTCTGGAAATGCTCCTATGGACCATGGGAATCTTCTCTCTAGGTAACTTGTCCCCTGAAGTGTTGGAAATCTAGATGGAGTAAATGAATCCTCTAAATCGCGAACACCTTAGGCTCAAATCCCACTACTATCTGCTGCGTCCCTCTGAAGACGGACTACTTCTAGCCGTTCCCTTGAGACTTCCCTCCTACAAGGAACCATCCCTCAGCACTAACCGATTTCATCCGCTCCGTTTTGGTGGCCTGTTTGGAGGGGCATGTAAATAAATAACATTAAAGCGCTTAAACAAGTGTGTCGTTTGTAATTTCCCGACTTTCGTTTTGCACTGAGAGCTAACCTAATCTGGTTAGTTGGTACATTCCACCTTTCCTACACAGATTCTAGCAGCTTCTCGACCTCCACCAGCCCTTGCTGGCCTACTTGCTCGTCTAATTGGCCTATGGCGACCGAGGCCTCAGCCAGAGGGCGACAACTCCGAGGCGTGCGCGGTCGAAAATTCCATGGATGAAGATGCTTGTTTTCAGTTGTGCGAAGCTGCCATCACAAGCCTCACCAACTTTGCATCCCTTTACGGTGGTGAACACTCACGAAGCGCTCTAACGCCTTCTGCAGCGGCATCTCTATCCCTGTGTCTCTTACGATTGGCTGATGAGGATCGACGGATTCAAGAAGAACGAACTACTACCGGTTCCACATATTCCCCACGTGCACCCTCTACTCCTGACACAAACAGGGCCACTCCTCAAGCTCGTCGCCGTATGCGTTTGTTGCTTCGTATAATCCGGCGACTCGTTTCATCTGATCCAGTGTGCAGTTCCCGTCTGGCTGCAGAGGCTCTTGAGACAGGGACAACTAACCTATATACCACTTTGGTGTTTCTGCTTCACAGGACCCAGCGTTACGCCGATGCATCCACGGCAAAACTACTTCGTGAAATAGTTAACTTTGTTTCCCCGAAAACTCGTGTCGGTGCGGAAACTAACGGAATGACGATTGCCAGGAACGAAGCTGCTAGTCACAGGTCGTCCGTGTGTAACGGGCATTCCCACCAGAGTTCTGCTGCAGTTGTCTAATCAGGTAAGTTACTCCTTGCGTCGATTGCCAAATGATATAGGATTCACTCTCGTTCGAACGCCTCTCACGTCCTGTCACAATAACTCTGGTTGGTTCACACCAACGATGGGAGCACTGGACTTATTAGAGCTCATCAGCAGCTGATATTCTTCGCCGTGTCTCCGGACATCTGACATGCGAGACGAGACCACCGATTCACTAGCGCATGGTGGATGCACCCGAATTGTGACGTCTGAACAGAGGAACATGTTCACGCTTAAGCGATGTGATTTGTTTGACTCCGGTGACCAGTTAAATGTCCCGGTTTTGTCGATCGATTGGCCCCGGTAAAACCAAGGGCGCACACTGCTGATGAGTTCTAATAATAACTAAACTCGACCTCACTGCTTCCACCCTTTGGTGTGAACTCACCGAAACCAGTACGTCAGGACACGAAGAAGACTTTTCAAACGATTTGACCGTAAATTCCACAAATATTGTAACCACCGACGATTGTCGTAGACTCCACGAAGATGGGAATCTGCAGAAATCCGGATAGTGTTAGGACAGAGGTCACCGCAAACTACTTTCAGAAACGTTTTTCTATTATTCTGACACTCAGTATTACGCGCAAGAACCATACGAAATCACAGATACCAAAGACAACAACTAAAAGTTAGCCTCCAACTGTTTGGGAAAATTAATGTGAACTTTTGAGAACTTTTTTTCATTCAACGACCACGTGAACTTTTCGCCAAAGCTTTTTTAAAATGATCTTAGTCAGCAGAATGACAAATAGATTATTCATACCAGCTCGTTGTTTCCTGTGCTACTGAGAGGTTATCAGTTGACACTGGAAGAGGAAAAGCATGTTTTTCAATTTATCTTCTGGCTGGTACAGATCAAACGTAAGAAAAGTGAACCAATTGTGGTTCACTTGGGTGAGCGTTTCAGTATTAGTCTTTGCAAAGATCATCTAACACACGCATTTAATCGTCTGGATCGGTGCATCGCTGCCGTGCCACCCGCGGGAAGCACGAGGGCTGAGATACAGCCTGGTTAGCCAGGCCCAAACAGGAGCGGTTGAGATTCAGTTATTTGGTTCGAACTACGGACCTTACATCTGCGCCCTAACTGCTGGGCTGTCTTGAGCTCTGGGTCATTTGGGACCTGGTGTATGTCATCTTCAGAAAAGAGACGAACACTGGGCCGAATCAGCTGGAACGATCGAACAAATCTCTTGTCTACTAAATTGGATGCCAACAGCTTGGACGTCATCTGGGGCGGTTTTATGTCACCGGAATACAGCGCCTGATCAATGACGTGTCCGATGTCGACCAGTGCACTAAGATAAAACACTGTATTTTGCCTGTAACTCCCAGGACGAACCATTTTGGCTCATTTTCCCTAATCCGCTTGGACGAGTGCCGCGCTGTACAACCCGCATAACTAGCTTTACATGCTCAATTGAATTCTACACGTAGAAAAGGCGAAGTTGAGTGGCAACGAGGTTTAGCCGCGTTAAAGGTGTATCTTAACGCTGTGGACCGAGACTTCGTTTTAGCATCTCGATCACCGTGTGAAAGGGAGCACTATAAAACGTTGTTCGGGTCCGACTGTCTCGGTTACTTTCGGTTCGGATCTTTTCTTCATACCGCGTGAAATCAGAGTGAACGATTTCCTCCAAGGCATCCACTACGCGTTCCAATGTGACATTTGAACATAACCTCTGAGTCATTGAATCCAAACATCGGACGAGATTTAGTCTACGTTGCACAGGTACAAAACTATGTGTCCATTCCGGGATGCCTTGTGTGTATGTTTTCCTTGAATAATTTAGACTGTTAGATTTCTCGTAGGCGGTACGCGGAAGTTATGGATGCTTAGGAACCGTTTTGATTTGCGTGTACTTCTGTCGTGTATTTTTCTGCTATTCAGCTGACTGTGGCTTACTGAATTTGTCCGATCAAAACTACATGGCAAACGATACTTCATGTTCATGTGGAAGCAAAACCGACTGATCCCACCACACGGGGGCAGGAATTCGGCATGCAGAACAAAAGTTCCTTTATGCACACCATGGTGCTGTGGGATGCAAACTGAAGGAGTCGGGGACTCAGAATTCCTAATACTATAAACAGATGCTCTCTGATTCGAGCCTCACACAGTTTCGCTGTCTTATAGCACCAATTCGAAGTTAAAGCAAAACCCGGACCCGAAGGTCAGGAGATCTTTTGTAAAGATTACAGAAAAACGTTACGAAAGAGAAGCGAACCCAAGAGCCACGAGGGGGATATGACAGCGAGAATTGTCTCTCGCTGTTTTTGAAGCGGCAGCCCGATGGGCTCAATATCTTCTTAGTAGAAGATCGCCATCTAAAAGATGGTAAATACACGTGGATTTCATCACGAAAAGCGACCAAGGATCATTCTTCGTTGCCATTAGGATAAACGGACGACGAATTGGAATCCCAGTAACTAATGATTGCTTGTGCTCTAAGTTGCATGGAAAATCTCGTGCACAAAAAGGGGGCAAACGGGTCACTCAACGAAACAGATAACATCACCACCAACTCTGACTGTGAGCCAATACAGTTTGCATAACAGGAGCCCCAGTTTCATGATAAGTGGACTATCCACTATATTTCGGTATCAGATGACCTTGGTAGAAATTTGATTGTCTCAGTGTTATATCTGCTGACTCGATAATCTGTTGTATCTGACTGCTGACCCGCTCTAGTGCCTACTGCCGGAAAAAGGACTCACAGAAGGGAAGACAACAGTTATATTCCGAACTAGCGAGTGCGAGAGCGTGAGTGCTTGTGGGTGCGAAAGTACAACGGTCTCAAGCTATTTATTGGAGGGACACTGACTGAACTCGGTCTGGCCTTGGTACGAGGCTGCGACGCGCTGCATATTGCGGGGGCGTTGTCCGACCTTGATCAGCGCTAACTCTCGCTGCCTGGGTTTGATACAAGGCTGTGAAGCGCTGCGTATTGAGGGGGCGTTGTCTGTCTGATCAACTTTTAGCGGGGCTGAGAGTCTCCGTAGATTTCGGGCATTCAGTGGTTGCTTTCAGGAACCTGGCCTTCCTGATACTCAGTGAGGACAGCCTCATATCATCTAAGTCTGTCAGTCATGGATTCACGTTTTTTGCACAGAACCAAACCATGCACGTTTGAGTTGCCCGTTTGACTGTTCAAATAATCTTGCGGTCACGTTTGTTTTCTTCTTTCACAGCAAACCGTGTCGCTCATCAACCTGCTTCCGAATCTCTATACCAGTGACTCCTGACCCGGTCGTAACTTTACGATTCTATACTTTTCACCTACATATTGCTTTCACCCTTGCCTCCACCTCCCACACCCATGTGGCCTTGATCCCTCAGCGCTATCTTCCCTGTACATATCAAGTTGGGGCATTCCATGACCTGGCAATGGATCGTCTGGCCAGTTGGTTCAGTGTCCGAACTGCACTGTTGAGATCCGTCACTCTTTAACCAACGTCGCCCTATTCGCGTTCGGACCTACATAATTGCTGTGATTATTAGATTTTTTCTTACTGTCCTTCTTGTTATCCTCATCTCATTCTTTATTTGTTTACTATTCGCAATGAACAAGTAACTTTACGGCTTGTTCTTCGGTTTTTCAAGAGTGGGAAAAGTTGCGATTTCGTAGAGACGGTAATTCCTCAGCTTAGTTCTTTGTCTGGTCCCCGGAGCTATCGTCTTCAGCAAGACTACCAAGGGTGTCCGAAATCAGGCAAGACCTACATGCAGCGCGTCCTATTCAAAATGCATGCATTGACATTCTGGAAATTCAGACGTCTTCTGAACATGCATTCAGCGGACACCAAAACGTTATTAGCTGTTGGGTCCAAATTTTCGGTCAATCAGAGCTCGAATTGACGCTGGCCCGATCTAACCAATCATGTGCAGCTTTGGTTTCTTGGCCTTCGAAGTGTCTGTGAGTTGTATGGCGGTTTTGATACAGGATTTCACCCAACACGTGGTAACTTGGGTCATTTTATGAAGCTTGATAAAAGTAGTCAGACGCTTTATGCGGAACGTTTCCAGGCTTCGTATGACTGGTTATATCAGGGATGTGTCACGGCCGCTAGGATTACGTTTTCAGCGGTTGACTCTACAAGGATGCGAATGGAGTTCAGTGGACTCCTTTCAGAATGACAATTTTGGACGTTGGGGATGCTTCCTCTTGGGGGTATAGACAGTATGGACGGTACTACTCACCCCCAAAGCTTATCTAACGAAAACCAGGTCATTCTTGGTGTTTACACCGGTTCTTTGTTGCAAAATATCGAATATTCCATAATTTGACTTGTGCAACCGTGGCTATTAAAATGTGCGACGAAACTACACAAGCACCCGGCTCTCCGTGCGCTGCTGTCTGCCCGGATGGGAACCGCGGACGAGATAAACTAGTGGTTAGTGAGAGGTGTTGCTGTCATGCAGCCAACAGTGGTTTTGCGTCTAATCTATCGCCTTAACTGTGAGTTTCCCGGCCCATGCCATGCCGAGCAAACAGATCTATTAGTCCTCAATGCATAGATTGGACAATCACCTTAAACGCCTGGTTCATTCTCTTACTCCGTGCGCTGCTGTCTGCCCGGATGGGAACCGCGGACGAGATAAACTAGTGGTTAGTGAGAGGTGTTGCTGTCATGCAGCCAACAGTGGTTTTGCGTCTAATCTATCGCCTTAACTGTGAGTTTCCCGGCCCATGCCATGCCGAGCAAACAGATCTATTAGTCCTCAATGCACAGATTGGACCATCACCTTCAACGCCTGGTTCCATTCTCTTATTCGGTCATTCTTCGCGATTGAAGAAGCTGGAGCCACTGCACTTCAGTGCATAGTTTGTGAGGTGAGGAACGGAACTGAATTTCCAGGACAATGATTCCGTTGACAACTGGGATAAGCGAAAGTACGTGCGGTTGTCAATCTTTGGTATTTGTGTGGTCACCCAGGAGTTTCAAAGTTAAAATACAGCAAAAATGAACGTCACAAACCTATACGATCATTCCAGTTTTCGATCCACCTGACTGCTAACAATAACAAAATTACCACCTGTTTAAGATCCACTACTTTCAACCAAAAGTCCACATCAAGCGCATCAAAGTACTTTTCAACAGCTGGGTATGAACTACAACTTCAAATGCCTAATATACGCACAGATAGGGAGCCTGAAACTCAATTCGACATCCGACCCTCTGTGGGATAAGCTCACACGAACTACGACGTCCTGTTATTGCCGTTTTTAAAAGCTTACGATCTGCTTTGCAATGATAGGTGGGAACGGAGATTCCCATTAAAATGTTACGGATCTCAAGCGGATTATGGCGATTCCGAGCAAACATACTATCAGACCCCGGCTTCCACCCGAATCAGACATCCAGCAGTCAGGCAGGAGCGAGAACGCTCTAGTGATGTCTTTTGGAGAATCACTGCATTGTTATTGCGAATCGTGTTGGAGATTTCTAGAGTGCTGCCGCAGCTCGGTGTATCTGCCAGAAACTGAGGTACACAAGTATAACTTGGTAGCAACTTCTTGGTGTAGCTTACTGACCAGCTTTTGCTATGCTGATTTGTAACATATTAGGGGATTATGTGTTTTGGAATAACAATATTTTTCCGTAGTCAAACTTATTGCTTTTGCTTTTCGAGGAAACTTGGTGACAAGATTCCTGAGATCACGTCGTTCAAGGATGTGCAACATGATTATATCGACCGTTTCTTATCGTTGTTTTCGTAAAATCGTTCAGCTGTAGCACCCTTTTGGTGCCTAACTGCCATGCCACCCGAAGATTGCACGAGGGCTGGGATACTGCCGGGTTGCCCAAGCCTAGGCAGGGGAAGTCGGGAGACGGAGGTCGAGTCCGAACCGCGGACCTTCCGGTCACTAAATTCGCGCTCTAAACACTTGGGTCATCTCACGCTATCATTGTGTTATTATTAACTATCCTTGCCACAGGGTATATCCGGAGCAAGCTCATTTTGTTTCAGTCACAACGCCAACAGTAAATGCATTAGTAATTGTGGAACGCTACCTACATTTATCGGCAAGGTAGTGGAGAGGCTCACTGGGGCCGCTTACCCAAGGTATTTAGGTTCAAACGATGTTTCTTAGGCTAGCGGGGGTCTTCGTAATTTTACAGAATTGGATAGAGTCCCGGGATCATATTCTCGTAGACCGGGAAACTTCTAAACTGCTTTTAGAGGAAGGGTCGCTTAAGCCGTTCTCAAGTAATTAGAGTGAGGGGACCGCGGTTAAAGAAGAACCTTGAATAATAGTTAATTAGTCATTCACCGATCTCCACTTGCCATTTCTTATGTTGATGTTCTAGCTGCCCGCACGTATCGACGAAGCACGCACACTCTCAACCGCCTGCTGGATGAATTAACAGTTTGATGAACTACGCTGCATCTTTATCGGTTCGGCCGAAGTGAAAAGCAGTGTGTGGAGCAGAAAACGGTGGTTTGCGTGCAGGTGCTGGATAGCGAGGCCTGGGAACACCGATGAGCGTTAGCGCCACTATGGTGAATACCGCTAAAATGGTAGTATACTGTGAGTACCTCTAATAGTGTCACACAACACCAAGTAATGGAACGAATAAGCATTGAGTTGAAATATACAAGTACATGCACCGAGGTAGAAAATATACATTGTTGGGAGGGGGGTCAGAGCTTCTTCAGTTTCACCCGGAACCTCTCTGGAGCAGATTTCTATAAGAAAAAGAATCAGAAAAGGCGGATAAGATGGACCAATCAATCTCCGAGAAGCAAGCATGTTTAATGTGTTTAGGTTTGCAAAAACTGAATCCAACTGAAATGAAATTTTGTGCCGCCCCGATGTGAAGTGCACCGGATGTTTATATGGGATCACGAAGCCAACAGTTGAGTATGGAAAAAACTCGTTATGTTATATCACCGGCGACTGTGCGAATTCGCATTGTAAAGCAGTCTCATCCTCGAATATATCTAATGAGCACTATGGGTCACTATGCACATGTATCGATGAGTTCAACTGCTTGGCTTTCTCTTATATGATCTAAAAATTATGGGCGATCCATTAGGTATTCCGATGGAACTTCCATCTCTGGTTACTCATCGGCCTTAGTTTTTTGGAGTTTACAAAGGACCGGTTATAGAGGTAGCTCGGTACAAACTGGTTGCGGGCATCACCTAGTGCGCGGGGGGGGGATATCGGCGTAGTTCGATGTGACAGGCAAATCCGGATGTCAGTCCACGGTTCGTGTGTGTGTCTGAGTCGGATGAAGGTGTATCAACAAGGTTTCCATTTATCGATCTCCATTTTTTAAAATGCGAAACATCAGCTGTTTCGGAATTGTAAAACGGATAGTGGTTACATACGTGCACCGAAAATGCGCCACGTTCGAATTTCGCCAGGACAGCCTGGCTTAACAAACTAATGAAGCAAGCAAAAAATAACCCGAAGCGACTTGTGCACCAGTAGCTAAAGACAGGAGGGGAAATTCGACCCGGCTAGCCACCTTGAACCTTTTTGATGGAACAAATATCAGTCATCCATTCAGGTATCTGGTTCTCGTTGGCATTCCGTAGCAAAATCGATAAAACTTACATCTTTGTAAAGCTGCCCGCACGTATCGACGAAGCACGCACACTCTCAACCGCCTGCTGGATGAATTAACAGTTTGATGAACTACGCTGCATCTTTATCGGTTCGGCCGAAGTGAAAAGCAGTGTGTGGAGCAGAAAACGGTGGTTTGCGTGCAGGTGCTGGATAGCGAGGCCTGGGAACACCGATGAGCGTTAGCGCCACTATGGTGAATACCGCTAAAATGGTAGTATACTGTGAGTACCTCTAATAGTGTCACACAACACCAAGTAATGGAACGAATAAGCATTGAGTTGAAATATACAAGTACATGCACCGAGGTAGAAAATATACATTGTTGGGAGGGGGGTCAGAGCTTCTTCAGTTTCACCCGGAACCTCTCTGGAGCAGATTTCTATAAGAAAAAGAATCAGAAAAGGCGGATAAGATGGACCAATCAATCTCCGAGAAGCAAGCATGTTTAATGTGTTTAGGTTTGCAAAAACTGAATCCAACTGAAATGAAATTTTGTGCCACCGCAATGTGAAGTGCACCGGATGTGTATATAGGATCACGAAGTCAACAGTTAAGTATGGAAAACTGAAAACTCGTTATATCACCGGCGACTGTGCGAATTCGCATTGTAAAGCAGTCTCATCCTCGAATATATCTAATGAGCGCTGCGGGTCACTATGCACATGTATCGATGACTTCAACTGCTTGGCTTTCTCTTATATGATCTAAAAATTATGGGCTATCCATTAGGTATTCCGATGGAACTTCCATCTCTGGTTACTCATCGGCCTTAGTTTTTTGGAGTTTACAAAGGACCGGTTATAGAGGTAGCTCGGTACAAACTGGATGAGGCATTACCTAGTGTGCGCGGGGGCGGGAGACATCAGCGTAGTTCGATGTGACAGGCAAATCCGGATGTCAGTCCACCGTCCGTGTGTGTGTCTGAGTCGGATGAAGGTGTATCAACAAGGTTTCCATTTATCGATCTCCATTTTTTAAAATGCGAAAAATCAGCTGCAGTTATCGATCTCGATTTTTTAAAATGCGAAACATCAGCTGTTTCGGAATTGTAAAACGGATAGTGGTTACATACGTGCACCGAAAATGCGCCACGTTCGAATTTCGCCAGGACAGCCTGGCTTAACAAACTAATGAAGCAAGCAAAAAATAACCCGAAGCGACTTGTGCACCAGTAGCTAAAGACAGGAGGGGAAATTCGACCCGGCTAGCCACCTTGAACCTTTTTGATGGAACAAATATCAGTCATCCATTCAGGTATCTGGTTCTCGTTGGCATTCCGTAGCAAAATCGATAAAACTTACATCTTTGTAACTATGCGCAGTAAATCACCTTTCCAAAACGTGTGTGGATCTAAATCGAGCCAATAGGTGTTCACGTGAATTCCGAGAGTACAAAACAGAACTTATGTGATCGACGAAGGTGCTTCTGTACAGTCCAGTGACAAACAAGAGCGTGGGGCACAAAAATGTGGTACACAAAGCTCACTTTTTGATATGCGCCACCGTTGTCGCGGCAGATTATATAGCGTAAATTGAGCGGTGCGATTTGTTCCACCGACTCCGAGTCACTATTCCGACTGTGATCGCGAATTTGTTCGAATTTGATAACTGTCATATAAAAGTAAGACAAACAGAAAAATTATTGGTAAAAAGCCGGTCACGACTACTTCCAGCTCTCTAGGTTAGCAATTCCGGAGGTATGGACCTCTGGCACAGTACAGTAACTAAGTAGAAGCAAGCATATTTGATGGCACTGTTAAATCGTTTGCACTGTTGTGGAGACTAGCTGGACTCGCTAACCTGTAGCACCCTTTCGGTGCCTAGCTGCCATGCCACACGAAGGAAGCACGAGGGCTGGGATACTGCCAGGTTGCCCAAGCCTAGACAGGGGTAGTCGAGAGGCAGAGGTCGGATTCGAACCACGGACCTTGCAGTCAGTAAATTCGCGCTCTGGCCACTTGGTCCATCTCGCCCCCAACTAACTGAGCTACTGTTCGTCCACTCACCAATCAGTCTAATTCGGTTTTATCCTGGAACGGGCTAACTCTAATCATACGGTGGAGCCGATCGCTGTTTCCGATGTTAAAGCATTACAGTGACATCCGAGTGCATACAATCACTATTGTAGTAATGGTAATAATAGTAACAACAATCGTCCGGCTGTGACACCCTTTCGATGCATAGCCACCATCCCACGCTAACGAGGCAGCGGGGCAGAGATGCTGCCCGACTGCCCGAAGATAAACAGGGGCAGTCGAGATGACCGGGTTGGGTTCGAGCCAGAGACATTCTGGTCATCAAGTCAGCGCCTCAACCACTGAGCTGTCCCGGATGGACATAATCCTGAAAACTGAACTTTCGAGCAGAAATTTTCACAGTGTCATCAAAACGGCCTTCAATGTGTGCGATGAGACAAACTGTTTCGAGCGCGGTGACAGAATATGAGATCTGCACGTGTTTCGATCCGATTTAGCCCCCTTCAACAAACACCTTGAACGGTCTGAGTTCACCATACAATTAACATACTCAATACCAGACAATTCAACTCAATTTATCAGCATTACTGTGTCAACCCTAGTGCAGTTGTGCTTCGAGCAGTACCAAACTCTGGTTTTAAAAGTATTTCGACCGTATTGAATAATGCGCCGGCGGTCACGGTCAACCGTTGGGCAATCCGAGTGTGCGGTTTTTAGGGTCAATCTTTTCTAAGCCTTCCTTCCGCGAGGAAGGCAGAATCGCTGCTTCTATGAATATGGACGTGTTGGTCCCCTGGGGGAAACACCTAACTGCCTTCACACTCCAATCGCAGAGGACAGTACAAGCTTACCTCCGGAACGCTTCGTAATACGATTACTCGCAGTACGGAGACTCGATGTTCTTCGTCAGGCTGCTCCCAATTGGCCCACCTGGCATGGTTGAACCTTAAGAGACTGAGTTCCAGCCAATATAGCCAGCAGGATCATTGCAGCACAGGAGCCCGACCACCACGACAAGGTGACAGGTTTAAGTCGGCGCCAGACAGCTTCTATTGGGATTGGCCAAAGGAAGTTTGAGCGTTTACAGAGCATGAATAGGTGCTTACTGCGGTGCCGTCTTAAGTCAGGTTTCAGGTGGCATCCCCATGATCACGAGGCATGGCTACCACAAGCAAATCCCATAATTACTCTCTCAGGATAGTCAGTCTGCCGAAGTACAAATTTACTTAGTAGACGACCTCACAAATGCGTCACACGAGTTGTACAACCTTGGGCCGATTAACTGATGCGGATCCAACAGAGTGATGCGAAGAATTCGTTCAAGTTCCAACGGTCCCGTTTCGAACAGAATACAAATAGAGAATACTTCAGGACGATACACGGTTGTTTGGAATTCAGAGGATATGTAATCCTGAGCTCCGTTGTAGATTTTCGGTCTTATTCAGGACCACTAAATCATCCAACCGCGATCAGCACCGTAGGTTGTCTCTCTCCTTCCTAAAGGGAAAACCATCCGAAGAGACTGGTTTCTCTGTAAAGGCACAAACCAAAAGTGGCCCTTTCTGAATAGTGGTCTCCATTGGGTGGGCTTAGGTATATTGCAGAGGCTACGAAAGCCCAGATTATCATATGGCGAAGCAACAAATTTCGGTCGTTATCATCCATAAAATGAGCTCTGACATCATTGGTGCCTTCAGCTACACCAAGGAAAATGGCACTCAATTTGGTGGAAATGACTACTGAGTAATAGTAGCTTTCCAAAGGCAATAGCAAAATTTAAAGAGGAAACCAACCTTTGGAAGAACGCAACCGTGTGATTTCTTCGTCTGAGTTTGCATCGGCGTGATACTCATAGGCATCAAAAGATTTTGATGTGATGTTTGTCGAATCGGGTATCTTTGAACATAAAACAAGGGATGACAAGGGTAACAAAGTGCAATGGCTAAGATAAAAAAGAGAAGGGCAAACCTTGGGGATCATACCAATCTGTTTAATCAAGCTGATAAAACAAAAAAAACGACGGCAACAGGGAAACACAGGTAAAAATTCGACGCAACATAAACGGCGAGACTACCAAGATCAGACCGATATAACATTCTACAGAAGCTATCACGTAGTTCAAGAAAGTGCCGAGCAATCAGCCTGTACAAGAGACTGATACCATGACTAGAAATTCGAATGAATATATCGGTGTTGTGCCACGTAACCATCGATCCACCTGGGGTTTTAACATGCAACAGGCTTCAAGGAAATCGATGATTCAGGTTACTGCTCGACCGTCTGTTACCCACTATTGATCTGGACACAACGAGTAGGGGTATCACATTCTTTGGGATTATGGATTTAGTCGTAAGGCTTAATACGCTCTCACACAAAATCTAAGGGAACAAACGAATTTAATCGGTCATGAAACCACCAACTAGCTGGACGAGTGATGTCCTCCCATCGAGTCCTCAGGCGGATCAGATGTGTTGACCACTCTGCCTACTGATATGTCACTAGTAGCCAAGATAAATTAAGTAAACAGAAGTCCACCACAGAAGTCGACCCGAAACGTGGGGATCGTTCAAACGATGAGGACGAATTAACTCCTGTGCAGTGCACTGTGCTGAACTTGAGGTAACTGTGAGTTGACACTTCCAAAACAGCGGGAATGAGTCATACCGCCGAAGCAGATACCGCAACGAATTTCGATCATTTTCGACACGCCATGAACATGAAGGGTGCGCAATATACTCTCAACCTTGCAGAGAGTACGATAATCTGAAATCCTAAAGCAATGATCATGGAAAAAAATGAATAGTCCTGCATTCACTGATTTGTTTGGCAGTAACGGCTAGCAGTACACACGACTGGATACGCAGTTGAGGGTCGGGTGCTTCGGTTGGTACGGGCTAAATAATTCCGTGTTCATTTGTGAGGCATTGTTACTTTTGATTGTGGGGTAACCTTGATCATGCACGCTTTAATAGCCGGTTGCTCAGTCTCATCCATGTCAGGATACAACAGTATCTAGACGGATGGGCGAACCGAAGCCACTTGATTCAACAACCATGGCAGTAGCACCCGCGTAGCAAAGTGCTCCCATGATTCAGCAAGAGACAGTATTTCGGAATCAGTACGAGATTAAGAAGAGAAATTGGCGATATGATATTTGATAGGAAAAAAACCTAATTCTCGCGTTCAATCGCCTCAGGGTTGCAGGAGACACCAGTCGGCTCAAAGTCAAGGTTGGGCAAGAAGCCAAGGTATACTCAGCTACACTAAGTACGTTAGTCGAAGCAACGCGTCACCAGCATGACCTCATTGTTTCGTGTGGGCGCATGACAATTTAAAATTACGCAATTCGACACGATCCGATACACCGACGGAAATGCGCGTTTAGGATCGTTTGAGCGATACGACTGAGGTCTATCAGCGACATACACTATTCTTGGCTTCTCAGGGATCAGCCAATCAGTAGTTCAGTGGATCCTACTGCATATTTACGGAAAACCAGTGGCAATCGTAGCCCGGGTCCACTCACCCATCCACGCATCAGACGTTTAGATCGGGTCCTGCGTAAGGACATGACGGATAAAACTGAATACATTTCAAAGTCGAGGAAAAATGAAGGTAAACCGGAAACTCACCTTGGTGGTTTCACATTGGTTGGAATCAATCTGTGTGATCAGAATGGTAGGTTGGACTGGGAGGTCTGTTTCTTGTGACCGTGATTTGAAAATGGAAGGTGCAGACTGTGGAAATTCAAAAACAGTATGGCATAAATGACCCCAGAGAGGCTGGCAGGACAAAACGATACCTCCCTAACGTTAGAACGACTTTGCCGATGACATTTCAAGTATCATCAAAACGGGAATCATAGTGTCCATATTACGCTGAAATGCTTTGAGGGTGTGCAATGTTTGTTTTTCATGCCAGATGCTGAGAATCAATCAGGGCAACCTTTATCAAAATACACCTTAACTTCACTTTGAAACACCATTATTTTCCCATCGAGGCGTCTTGAAAATTTCCTTCGAAGATGAAAATACAGGATGCCTCAATACATAAACAATGTATGCGTCCCTTGTTCTGAAGACATACCTAACAGTCACGTGTTAAAACAGTAATATCTTTCCCCGCCTCAGGACACAAGCCATGCGGTAGGGAAGCGATTAAACTTCAGCCAGGGCTCGCCACATCAGTTGGGAGCTTTATCACGTGTGAAATCCTTCTATCATTACAAGGCATAACAAAAAACCTCGTTGTCATCCAAGCTACCTCTGAGATCTAATGTATCTTAGTTAATGATCGTGCCTGTACGCAAGGGCACGAGAGGCTTTCGGCTACAGTCGATAACCTGCAGGATGACGAAACACCTTCCCGTGGGTAGAACATCAACGTCTTCACTCACAGAAACACCAGATGAGAATAGTGGTGCTTCACTGGTGTACAACCATATCAAGTTATTTCAGTATAGCTCTATCAGGCACGAAAGTAAAAACCTCATTTTAACAGGGCTTTTAAAAAAGTTAGCACCATCAAGTCCTGTCCTCCTTAGCCTTCCTGGAAGTTGTTCAAACATTTGACATTAATGTGCAAACACTGTAAAAATGGTCCAGTAATTTCAAATCAACCTTTCATCAAATATAGAGAGGGCAACCTAAACTACTTGTCCGTTTCATCAGTAGTATACTCTTATATGCCAGTATTTATTTATTGCTGCCTCACGCGCTGACTTGCCCTTGACACTACATGTAAATGCTGCCAGGTGCGGTAAGATGAATATTTATACAACCGATTCATACGGACTTGAGCGGATAACAGGGATTTCCCTTATGGTTCACTCTTATAGGCGGTTTGACTATACGCGGCTTATCGTCAACAAGCAGCTTAGCAGATATGGTCATCTACTAGCCACCTGCCGCCTGGTTAATAGACATCGAAACTCATCAGAACTAGCAACTTTTAAACCTACTGTCAAAGGCGGTTATCCCGTTGGCCGAGTTTAGGTACACGGTTTCGCTTTTGAACAGACTGGCTGACAGTTAGTATCCGCAGAACTGAGGAAACCAAAGAGTGCACAGGATGGCTGTTTTCAAAGCCGGAGAGGTACATGTAGTTGCTCACTATCCCAGGAGTCTCAAGACAACGATGGTAACGCCATCTAAACTCGTGGTCACGGTACTCCAGGGAAAGCGTAAGCCAAATGAAACTCAGCTGAATTGTCGTGCTGATTAACAGCACCATCGTTAGCCGGTGTCGAAGCCAGATAGCAAGACACAGTAAAGAAAGTCAGCATGATAAAAAGCGTAACACACCGAGATTTTATATAGAAAGGAGGTGGATACTTACTCGTCTTGCAATTCGTTTGGCAGGAATTGGTGTGTACCGCGGAGTTCCAAGGGACCGCTTCATGCGACTGCGCCCGTCACGCGAGGCAGCATTGGCGGTCGGGCCAGTGGTTCGGGGCCTGTTGTTTTTGATGAAACTTGAGCCGATAGAGCCCCCTTTTCGGCGAAAAGGGGTTTTCGGTTCTTGAAAGGACATTGAAGATTCCGTGACCAAAGGTTCAGGCTTGATTGTTACCTCCTCCGTGGCCTCGGTAGGTTTACTGTCTTGCAGTTTCGAGAGGAGTTCCACTTTGACCTCCAATTTATCCGTACAACCAACCGGGACCCCAGAAGACTGATTACAGCCTAAAGAGCGGCGTAACTGACGTGGAGCATTGACGTCAACCTGAATCACTTCTGAGTTGGAGGCCACCGCCTTCGTACAAAAGGAACATTGCCTGAAGCAAGCATATTACAACAATGTGTATGATGTGTGTGTGAGAGAGAGAGAGAGAGAATGAAGTAATGGCGACGGGTAAAAGGGCACAACATATAAAAACAGAGTGCGGCTAGCGGATAACAAAGCACCTTGAGATTAGGGACTTTAGAAAGCAGATATGCAATGAAACAAGTGACCGTGTTTGCGCGCCCAACTTTATTGTTCAGCCTATAATAGTAATTATAAAAGTAATAATACTAATAGTAATGGCAATTCAGCTGTAACACCCCTTCAGTGCATGGCTCCATGCCAACCGAAGGAGGTACGGGGACTGAGACACTGCCAGGTTCCCCAAGCCAAGACACGAGCAGTTCAGATTTGGGGATCGGGTTCGAACCACGGACCTTGCGATCATCAATTTCGCGCCTTAACTACCAGCGGTAAATCACATTAGTGATTTAGTCTTGATAGCCTCGGTGTGATGTGCCATTCACTCAGCTCAAACGGAATAACTGGATGAGGACGATCTACCCACGAACACCGACGTTACTCAACTTCAACCGACCAATGGTTCCTAAGCGAGGAAGAAACATTGGCAATGGATTTCTATGCCTGTTATATATGACTACTGTCCCCGCTCCCAGTGCCGGAAAGACTCGCCGACATGGAACACAACAGCTTTCTATGCAAACAAGTGAGTGCTGTATTTTGAATGGCACTGTCTGACCTCCATCCAAGGCTGTCTCAACGGCGTTTGGTGGAGTTTAGGGTCTCAGTAGGTTTCGAGTATTCTGGGATGATCTTCAAGAATCTGACCATCCTAACAACACCACTGTAATTTACGGGGTGCTTAAAATATGCCGCGGTTGCACTTTTCTTATGGACTCGGTCAATTAGTTGTTTGAACCATTTCCAGGAGCCTACCGGTCTTTTCCCCAAGTTCGTTCTCAGTTGCTAACTATGAAGTGCCAATTACAATGGGGAAATATCATTACTGACTGACAAGATCTGAGAAGCAGGTGAGCAAACGCATGCGACGTCTGACCACCAAGCCTTCAGACGTCCTAAAAGGTCTGTGACACATCAGGAACGTCTCCACTATTATGCCTGCAGACATTATTCAGTTTATCATTTTCTCATGACTTCGTACTCACAACACTCTTCAGTAGCACTATTCTGATAAGTTACATTTCAGCAGCTGTTGAAATTCCACGATATAGTCGGAAAAGCTTATTCGCTTTCATTGTGATCTCTATGTATCGAACCGCTGTTTTTTAAGCGCCTTCGTAGAATTTGGTAGCAAACTACTTGAGCTTCAGCATTTCTTCAAACTTTGAGTCTCTTGGTGGGAAACCGGAGGCATAAGTGGAATTTTATTACAGAAGAATCTTTGAGCTAAAAAAAACATAACGTCATTGTCTTTCAACTAGAGTTTACTGTATCTCACTGGATTTTTTAATTGGAAGTTATGGTGCAGGTCAAGAAAGATTGAAAAAAACGTCTCGGAGGGTTTTCTTTTCCGCCATTCTAGAAGCGGCAAGAAAAAAGCGTGAAGAAGCGAAACTGAACAGATAGTTTCCATTTATGGCTAAATGTTTACATGGGATTTTCCAACTGTTGGCTTTTCGTGATTCACTGAGGCGGGCAGGAAAGCAAGATCTTGGGCATTGGCTTCGATTCATAGTCTTTAAACATGGTCTTTAAACAATCACAACGGGATCCTCACGGCTCATGCATGAAGTAAGGGTTCGTTCCTAAGCGGATGATCTGGTCTTGTTTTCCTTGATTGCTGTTTGCCAAGTGATGTTCTGTTGCTCTTCTTCCTTCTTCTAATCACACTTACCAGGTATCGATGGGATTGGACAGAGCAAGCGCTAGGTGGTTTTGCCCAAGCTACCCCAATTGGTGCAACGGAAAATCTCGTTCACGAAGAGACCGTCGATGCGGAACACATTCTACCTTATCAGATGGTTGCCCATACACTATTGCCATCACGTACGTGGACAACTATTCTAAAACACCCGGGGGAAACCGTTTAATTGGAGAGACCAAGTTTCAAGACGATGGTATGGAAAACTCGACTTTTTGGCAGAAGTCGAAAAGCTAGTTACTTCCGCAAGTGTTTAAAAATGGAGTGCGAGATGAGATCACTTCTTCATAAACTGCACAGACGGGATCTCCTGAGTACATGAAGCTGCCAACCACGTTTGGCCTCCTCTAGTGAGAACAGACTCAGGTCCCTGACAATCATGTGGTTGTTCCCTGCATCGCGAAGAGGCGAAGTGCATGCCCCCCCCCCCCGCCACAATCGTCACGCGATCTAGGAGAAGAAATATTTCATGAACTGTGCAAATTATTAAGTGGATGTCATCAGCCATATTTTCGGTAAGAAATCCGACGCCCCCCGATAGGCTGACCTTTCGATGTACTGAAGATTATGCGGTCGATTGCGAACGGACGGTTAGAACAGCCTTATCGCCTCCGGCGAAAAAGCGACAAAAGCCGATCGAAAGCCCTGACTTTCCCCTCTGAAATTTGATAGTAAACTGTCTTTAGTATTCACACATATTGCCATTTTAGCACACAACTCTATAAAGCAGTTTTATCTACAGAGTCTAATGTTGCTCTACGTCCGAAAATACAACGGTTGTCAACCTTCGGCATGCGAACATTTTATAGGAGCTGACGGTCGCTGTATATTTGATCGACACAGCTAGAACCAGTGAGACAAAGGTGACAATGAAACAAGGATGAAGGTTACGGCTGGCGAATTTGGATACGGTATGAATTAAAAGCCATACAAATCATGTAAGCTGGACTTGTACAGATAAGCTTCGGCGGGTCTCCCAAATCTGGAGAACAGAAGTTGATCACAAAAGAATAAAGTCAGCGACCATATAGGAAACTCACCAACCATAGAGTCGGCTCCGTTTGGGCATGCGTAACAGTGGCGGATCCAGGCAGGCCAAATGAAAAGCCTTACTACACGTATCGCATTTGGTGATCAGGTGTTGATCTTGCAGGCCATGACAGACAAAACATCTGCAAAGCAGACAAAAGATCAACCCTGACTTCCTCTGCTTCTGTTCAGCCGGGAACGTCAACACCGTTCAAGATACTAATCATCGATTTTGCAATTAACTTTGGCTAAATGCAACAGTTACAGGCTATCCGATATCCTTCAATACTCGGCATTGAAAGAGCGCTTGTGCGTTCTTTATCATTATCACTGTGAACCTCACCTCGTCTAACCCGCGATATCAACAAATCGGTTACAGCCATATACAGGCTTTGCCGTCATGCTCCAAGTGTTTCTGGATGTGTCACTGCATCCATAGAAGTTCGCACTTTTGGGTAGAACGACCGCAAAACAGTTTTAATACTCGGCATTGAAAGAGCGCTTGTGCGTTTTTTATCATTATCACTGCGAACCTCATCTCGTCTAACCCGCGATATCAACAAATCGGTTACAGCCATATACAGGCTTTGCCGTCATGCTCCAAGTGTTTCTGGATGTGTCACTGCATCCATAGAAGTTCGCACTTTTGGGTAGAACGTCTGCAAAACAGTTTTTGGCGACAGGGACCACCCATTCCAGTAAATCAATATTACAGAACCCGTATGCATATGCAAAAATGCACCAAAGGTAAGTCCGTCTAAAAAAATTGTCGCAGCTTGAGTACATATTTCAAGACCCATTTCTTAACAGACACATTTCTTAACTCGGTCAGTCTGAGGGCACCGTCCAAATCAGCATTACATGAACCAGTTCTGGAATCTGGGGCTTGTACAAGGTTGTGAAACAGCGCAAAACCCAAAACAAATGAGCAATTGACAAGAAACCCGTAGTTTTATCTAGGGAACGAGCTTCGAATCAGGCTTCAGTGTTTCAATACACCCCCTGAATGTCACTGCAAAAGTGCACAAAAACCAACAAGGAACTAGAAGATGTCAGAGGAACGAGAACCGAGGAGCGGCCTGTCGCAGAAATCGCATGTATGCAGGCAAAAGTATACGCTGAAAGCGTCCTACGTCCTTAGTTCTTTGTTCCCTGGACGATGTGATCACACGGGTGCTTGACCACGTTTCTGTTACTCGTCACAAGTCCTGTTTCCAATAAATTAACGGAACAGCTCGGCGATGAATTTCTCCTTCAAAGTGGTTGATGTCAAACATCACTGCACAGAAGAATGTTACCGTGCTTCAAAGTCTGTACCCCACCCCTAATAGAGAGCATCTCCCCCCTCCCAAAAAAAAAAGGCTGTTTTGGTCAGACCAGACGATGCGCTTCGAATGGAGTACTGCTTAATCATGGCTTTTCAGTGAGCACCTGTCAGATTGCTCAATCTGTCACTGGAACCACAAGCTCCTTCTTCAAAAATCAATAAGTGTCATTGCTTACAGAAAGTCTGCATTAAAATACAGGCGTGAGGTGAAACTGGTTTACCTCGTCCCTGCTGAATTGTTACAAAAAAGCGCTCCTCAGGTAATCGAGCTAGGAGACTAAACTGGCCCCATCATTTAGTTTGACACGTGAGAGGAGAGATGAACGTACTCGAGAATGACGCTGTCAGTGACTGCACCACTGGCCCGACTAAGGACACGCTCTTTGTCCACAAACATGCCATGTTTGTTGGAAGTGGGGCTAAGTGTGGTACCACGTCGTTTAATCCCTCGGTGAACACCGGGCGTCGTGGAATCTGTCGCATGAACAGCCTTCCGACCAATGGAGACTCGGCCAAAACGCGGTCCATTCCTACTCTGAACCTCTAACGATGAGTGTTCTGCTTCGGTTTTAACTTCTGCAGAGACTGCGGACTCTGCAAGCACCGGTTCCAACAAGGATGAGGGTTTGATTTCCTGAAAACGGGTGAAAACGGAGAAGCAAAAGCACCGAAATCCATACATAAGTTATCGATAGTCCTGAAGTGAGAAAACAGTCCAAAAAAACTAGAGAGAAAGGGGACCTAGAATCCCTAGTCATTCAAACGAACAGGGTCTTCTGTAAGAGGAAGGTGTCGCCGACAAAACCACTACGTTGAAAGAGCCATGGATCGGTGGCAAGAAGCTGCTCACTACACGTGGTCCGGCAATCAAAGGTGGTAACTGAGACGGAGGAAGCGAGCATCAGGTACCACAACCTGTGTGACGGTACACTATTCGTTTGTTCAAAAAAGCTAGTCGAACCTTGATTCCAAGCAGGACAGATACGATTGTTTTTGGAGTCCTCGGTAAGTCTCCTGCTCCATGGCAGATCGAAAGGGCTAGAGACACACTCAAACACCGAATGGATTTCCGTGAAAGCCCATGAACATCTTCGGTGAACGGCTTATTCAACCGTGAGACCGGTCGTATTCAGAAGCAGAGTAAAATAAGATAGCATTTAGAATTTGTTTGCTTTGAGTAGGGGTGCACGGAAAGGGTCTAAGTGCATCTCCCACTCAAGACAAAAGGATGGAAGGCGTTCCAAAATCCACTCAGAAGAGAAACTTTAATCAGAAGAAAGTCGAAAGCGTTTTGATAACGATCCACATATAATGATGATGGATTAGTGGAGCGTATGGATGTTTTTTGGGAAATTTCCCACAGAGCTCGTGTATCTGCACGTGAAATAAATAAAGTGACGGAGTTAACAAAGTACCGATCAATAAGTTTGTACTCTGAAGGAGATCATCAATATGTGGACCACGTATCACACCAAACATTCCTATTAGAATCCTCAAGTTAGCCTTAAGTTAGCTGCCACCGACATAGCGGATTGCCAAGGACACTGGAAACGACACACAGAGGATGAAGTTGAAAACTAACTCGGAAGTAGATGTCCTTTGTGTTGACTAAACGCATTGCACTTCGGACGCTTTCTGCTTCAAACAAAGAGAGTAGTATTCACAGACATACAATGAAACAAACAACTGCGTACATCGCAGAAAACCAGTCTCCGAGAAACTGGACAACTATGCCTCGGTTGACAAAAGGCTTGAGTAGTGGCTACTGAAAGTCAACTTGGGGTTCGTTCACCGTGAGTGACAGTTTTAAAATGCGATCTGATGAGTAACTCTTACACGTTTACCATCATTTCATGGATGTGACTAAGTACTTTTCGAGGAACTTGTCAGGATGACCATTCTGTTTAAGTAGCATAGTCAAGTAAGCAAGTCTCTACCATGCGTGTTCAACGGTTCTTCTAAGGAAGACACCCGGATATATTTTCCTTTCCATTGTTACCAGACAACGTGGAAGGAACTGATGTGCGGAGTCAGGCCTTGGAATTGCTGTTCGGTTGCACCATCCTTTAGGTACCTAGCTGTCATGGTACCCGAAGGAAGCACGAGGGCTCAGATATTGTAAGGTTGCCTAGATAAGAGTAGTCAAGATGTCGAAGTTGGGTTCGAACTGCAGACCTTCCGGTATTCACACCTTAACCACTGAACTATCATACCTGGAAACGAATACAGATACACTGCATCAGCCGTATTGCTCGCCACAAATGAATCAAGTCGACCAAATGGATAACCGCCAAAAAAAGCAGACACCTAGACGGAAGACAGGAAAACTCACAGGAACCAGTTGCTGTAAACTGGACATAATCCGACAGAACTGTGAACGCAGTGTGTTTCGTCTCGTGACGAGACTGTCCAGTTGGCTGGATATCTGGAAAAAACAATCGCGATTAAACTGAGAGCTAAAGCTAATCTTGGTGATGAGAATGCAGAACTCGAAGCGGCTCGTAGGTCAGTGTATCAGTTTCTGATGGCAGCGGTTTATAACCGAAGTACCTCGACGAATGTACATAACAAAGTGCTTCTCTATTTACAAGCCAACCAAAAGATACCATGAGGTAGATAAAGGCGGATTCCAATGCCTGAACCCACGGTGCTCGATCCCATGGGTGAAAATCATAACTGTGTATTTTCGCTACTCATGAGTAGCTGAACATTCAAAGAGCTGAATAGGTTCTGTCCGAAACCGAGAAAACGACTGGTGTGGTGCACGGAAAACTGTTCGCTGTTCCACTCAAGTCACATACAGCCACTATCACGTGGTGCAAAAATCATCCCCTCGTAAAGAGAGCTAAATTTCCTTAAAAAAGACTTCGTTGAAATGGCTTTAGCTCATCTCCATAAAGCTATCGCTTTCGATGCATAGCTACCTAGGTTCCCGAACAAACTAAGCATGACATCGCATCCAAAGCTTGGGTGTATATCCCAAGCTCTCCCACTTTCCGGTGACCGAAATAGTAGCAGCTGAAGCCAATGTACTCATAGTACATGATCTGTAGCCAATAGACGGAAGTCAAATTGATCTTGAGAGAAAAAGGTACTCTTTGTAAAGACGCCACATTAACTCATAAGCTCGTCAGATGAGCTAATACAACAATAAAAAAAATTCTGCGCTGAAACTATTTTGCTGAGATAATAAGTGAATCACCATTTTGGAGTCCTCGGTAAGTCTCCTGCTCCATGGCAGATCGAAAGGGCTAGAGACACACTCAAACACCGAATGGATTTCCGTGAAAGCCCATGAACATCTTCGGTGAACGGCTTATTCAACCGTGAGACCGGTCGTATTCAGAAGCAGAGTAAAATAAGATAGCATTTAGAATTTGTTTGCTTTGAGTAGGGGTGCACGGAAAGGGTCTAAGTGCATCTCCCACTCAAGACAAAAGGATGGAAGGCGTTCCAAAATCCACTCAGAAGAGAAACTTTAATCAGAAGAAAGTCGAAAGCGTTTTGATAACGATCCACATATAATGATGATGGATTAGTGGAGCGTATGGATGTTTTTTGGGAAATTTCCCACAGAGCTCGTGTATCTGCACGTGAAATAAATAAAGTGACTGAGTTAACAAAGTGCCGGTCAATAAGTTTGTACTCTGAAGGAAATCATCAATATGTGGACCACGTATCACACCAAATATTCCTATTAGAATCCTCAAGTTAGCCTTAAGTTAGCTGCCACCGACATAGCGGATTGCCAAGGACACTGGAAACGACACACAGAGGATGAAGTTGAAAACTAACTCGGAAGTAGATGTCCTTTGTGTTGACTAAACGCATTGCACTTCGGATCGCTTTCTGCCAACCTTTGTTCAGACAAACAGAGTAGTATTCACAGACATTCAATGAAACAAATAACTGCGTACATCGGAGAAAACCAGTCTCCGAGAAACCGGACAACTATGCCTCGATTGACAAAAGGCTTGAGTAGTGGCTACTGAAAGTCAACTTGGGGTTCGTTCACCGTGAGTGACAGTTTTAAAATGCGATCTGATGAGTAACTCTTACACGTTTACCATCATTTCATGGATGTGACTAAGTACTTTTCGAGGAACTTGTCAGGATGACCATTCTGTTTAAGTAGCATAGTCAAGTAAGCAAGTCTCTACCATGCGTATTCAACGGTTCTTCTAAGGAAGACACCCGGGTATATTTTCCTTTCCATTGTTACCAGACAACGTGGAAGGAACTGATGTGTGGAGTCACTCCTTGGAATTGCTGTTCGGTTGCACCATCCTTTAGGTGCCTAGCTGTCATGGTACCCGAAGGAAGCACGAGGGCTCAGATATTGTAAGGTTGCCTAGATAAGAGTAGTCAAGATGTCGAAGTTGGGTTCGAACTGCAGACCTTCCGGTATTCACACCTTAACCACTGAACTATCATACCTGGAAACGAATACAGATACACTGCATCAGCCGTATTGCTCGCCACAAATGAATCAAGTCGACCAAATGGATAACCGCCAAAAAAAGCAGACACCTAGACGGAAGACAGGAAAACTCACAGGAACCAGTTGCTGTAAACTGGACATAATCCGACAGAACTGTGAACGCAGTGTGTTTCGTCTCGTGACGAGACTGTCCAGTTGGCTGGATATCTGGAAAAAATAATCGCAATTAAACTGAGAGCTAAAGCTAATCTTGGTGATGAGAATGCAGAACTCGAAGCGGCTCGTAGGTCAGTGTATCAGTTTCTGATGGCAGCGGTTTATAACCGAAGTACCTCGACGAATGTACATAACAAAGTGCTTCTCTATTTACAAGCCAACCAAAAGATACCATGAGGTAGATAAAGGCGGATTCCAATGCCTGAACCCACGGTGCTTGACCCCATGGGTGAAAATCATAACTGTGTATTTTCGCTACTCATGAGTAGCTGAACATTCAAAGAGCTGAATAGGTTCTGTCCGAAACCGAGAAAACGACTGGTGTGGTGCACGGAAAACTGTTGGCTGTTCCACTCAAGTCACATACAGCCACTATCACGTGGTGCAAAAATCATCCCCTCGTAAAGAGAGCTAAATTTCCTTAAAAAAGACTTCGTTGAAATGGCTTTAGCTCATCTCCATAAAGCTATTCGATTCGATGCATAGCTACCTAGGTTCCCGAACAAACTAAGCATGACATCGCATCCAAAGCTTGGGTGTATATCCCAAGCTCTCTTCCGGTGACATGGCTTTAGCTCATCTCCATAAAGCTATCGCTTTCGATGCATAGCTACCTAGGTTCCCGAACAAACTAAGCATGACATCGCATCCAAAGCTTGGGTGTATATCCCAAGCTCTCCCACTTTCCGGTGACCGAAATAGTAGCAGCTGAAGCCAATGTACTCATAGTACATGATCTGTAGCCAATAGACGGAAGTCAAATTGATCTTGAGAGAAAAAGGTACTCTTTGTAAAGACGCCACATTAACTCATAAGCTCGTCAGATGAGCTAATACAACAATAAAAAAATTCTGCGCTGAAACTATTTTGCTGAGATAATAAGTGAATCACCATAGAAATAACCCCAAAAAGGACAAAGCAGAACAACTTCCTTGTTCTTAGAGAGACGTTTTCAGATAAGTATCGCTTTCAGTGTTTCCGGTCTTCATGCGAGAGGATAACTGTAACGTGGAAAGGGGAAACTCACGGAATTGTAACTATGTGAAGCACTGGCATCCGAAATCTGTAGTTCTCTTTGTGTGTCTTGCAACGCAGAGATACGCTTCATAACTTCAGCAATTCGTTTCTCGCGTTCTGAAGGATAAAAAGGGAACGACAGCGTCGTTTGGAGGGAATACACCCAAGTGAAGGTCACTTCCTGCACAGGCCACAGTACAAACCGATAGGATGTGCCTCACTTGAGAACGAACCACCCAGACACCCCGGATAAAAATTCATTTTCTATAAGAAACTTCATGTTGTGGCCGTTTGACCTCCAAGAATGACACTTTTTGTTCTTACTGTGGCTACCAGACGATGGCCTCACAAGGGAACATGAACAAAAACCGGCTGTCGGCTCCAATGCAGTGCTGCATCCCAACAACTTAATGGGCCTGCATGGAATGGTGGGAGAACTGTCGTGGTCAAAGAGACCGAGGCGAACTGCTATTGTGTACGGTCACTACTAGTTTACCATAAATTCAACGCATGTATACTCATATTTCGTGGCGTTTTCTACTAGGAGTTATGAGGACGATTTCATTCCCAATCTTCGCATCCGATCTGTGGTCAGAATTTTGGGTACAGTCGGGCTAGAGACACAGACGGGTGCTACGGTTCAAGATGGGAGGATAATTCGGATAGCACTGTGCTGTTTCGATAACATCTGGATTGGTTTCAGAGCCAACTGGACCTGCTCATTCTCATCCATCCTTACCGTTCACGTAAGTCACATGAGCTAATCGAGATGTGAGCCTCACCTTCACATAAATGCATGGGCCCAAAGTTGTGGTCTTCACATCTTCCGATTCTATCTATAGGACTAAAATCAACAAGTTACAGGTCTTGATGTAACTTCTGTTGCAATATGCTGAACCCAAGTAACACTGGATATCTGGTGGGCTATTGATAATCATCTCACACAACTCAGCCACACAGCAAGCGAACGAAAGTGGATGAACCGAGTTGAAACCAACTCAACGATTACCCTGGTAAGACTCTATGGAGACCCGACCAGTAGTCGACAGTTTCGAACTGAGTGGCGACCGACTAATTCAAAGAGACAGGCCGGCTCCGTGGAGCACATACTTAGTGCGCTATCCCGAGCATCGATTTGTGTGTTCGAGTATGCCACATACAAAGGTTACCTGTATGTAACCTGTTCAAGGCTCGCACGCCGTTCGATAGCGTGCAGTGCGTTAGGGGTTCAGCGCCCCATCGACATTCCACCTAACTTGCTTCCAACATCTTTGCATGCTTTGACGTGTGGCCAGAAACAACTTCCCTCCCACATCTGGTTCAGCACGCTCATCGAGGCAGTGCGTTCACTGCGACGAGGACCTACCTATGCCAGATGATAACCACCGATGGATGAACTGCTACATCGGGAAAAAAAGGTCAACAATCAAAAATATCAAGAGAAAGAACCTGAAGACGCTCAACTTAACAAACTAATGAGTTTTTATAATTCCAACATCTTTGTATGCTTTGACGTATGGCCAGAAACAACTTCCCTCCCACATCTGGTTCAGCACGCTCATCGAGGCAGTGCGGTCACTGCGACGAGGACCTACCTATGCCAGATGATAACCACCGATGGATGAACTGCTACATCGGGAAAAAAAGGTCAACAATCAAAAATATCAAGAGAAAGAACCTGAAGACGCTCAACTTAACAAACTAATGAGTTTTTATAATTACAACAGGGATGTATAACACTAAGCCTGTGGCAGTTGAGTGTCATCTACTTACCGAAGAAATAAGAAATGAAATCTGGCGAGAAGATTGGATAGCCGGAGGGTGGAGCCTTGCTGGAATCGTTTATGGCCGACTGGCCGGTTAGTTCTAGTGGCAACTGCAAACGTTTGGCTTTCAGTACAAAAAGCCGCATTGCCAAAGGAGAATGTTCGAGTAACAACGGTGTTTTGGTGGTAGGTACTGAAAGTTAAAGAATACGAATAGATGAAAAGATGAAAATCGGGGGCGGTCTCAGCCAGCGCGTTAGCTCACACTTACCGTAAGGTTTGTCGCGTACTTTCAGCAATTCTTCATACAACGAACGGAACTGATCAAGCTTCCGTTGGACGCGTGGCTCCAGTTGCGCCATTGTTTCGTTAGTGGAAGTTAAGGAGTGACGTAAGTCTGGGGAGTTCAACAATCCAGGTGACATGCTGGCGGCGGCTTCGGATATCTGATTTCGCTTCCAACGCCATCTACTCATGGCAGCAAGATAGTTCCGACGCCGCTGGCGAGCCACCACCTTATCCGTGTGTTGGCGGCAGTGGGCAAAGAATGGGTCCGCTGTATTCTGCGATAACAGGCAGGATGAGGAAATGACGTATCAACGAATGGATAAGGAACTTGACTTCATCGGTTTAAGAATTGGCTGAAGACGCACAAAGACAAAAGATGTCGGCAGACAGATGATGTTGTTCACATGACATTTAGTAAGCTTCCTGGCGGTATATCCCTGCCGGAAAATGGATTTGAATTGTTTACGACCCACTTATCCAAAGCTACTTTACGCTCTATCCGGATCGATACAGACAAAAACAAACCTTCAAATCCCTTCAACTCGCAAATTACCGTGGAAGTCCAGTGAGAACAAAGGTACTTCATCCTACCAGTCCGCCGAGCAAACGCTTGAGGGACATAAAGAGCTTCAATCACCCGAATGCCTTTGGAAATTTAGCTTGACTGGAAACCAGTGAATGTGGTGCATTTGTTACCACATCAGCCTACTTGACAAAACCAAGATGGATGTGTTTGGACAGTTTTCTAATGGTGTCTGGTTGCTTGTTTGAACAGTTCCTCTCTGATTGGGCGCATTCAAAGCGGCCAAGGACATACACTGCTGATGAGCCCAAAACGGATGAGACCCGAATCCACGACCTCTCAGTTCTGGTGTGGACCAACCAGAAAAGCCTTGGAGAGACAAACGAGATTGACGTGAATACAAAAAGGTCTGAAATTCCTACGTGCCGAACAGTGTTGTATTCACTTGTGGAAAAACAGGTAAGCTTAGTGAATTTAATTTTCTAAGATTAACAATCATACCTCGGCTAGGTCAAGGTGAGCGATCCCCCATAACAAGCGCTCGACAAAAAACTTCCACAATTTAGAATAAAAATAGACGTGCTGACAACTCCCGAGCGGGAATAGCCGTAACAGTAAAGATACTTTCCTGCTGACTCATACTTTATTAATTTGAGTTACTAAATGACACGACTTTATATGTCGAAAACTTCAGTAACTCCACGTGAAAAGGACTGTTCGCCAAATGTCATCAACATCGTAAACAGCATTGTGGTTTAGGTAACCACCCTATAGAGGTCATGAGAAGGATGGAGTAGGTCACCGCAAGCAACCAGGAAAGAAGATATCTGAAGATCAGCAGCACGAAGACAGCTCGGCTAATTCGCAGCAGGTGTTTTAAATAACCCTTAAAGTACTGGCGACTGAGAAAGAAGGATGACCAACTGTATGTTTGTTACGCTCCGAATAATTAGACTTCTGGAGAACTCAACTAAGGCCATCATCACCAGCCCCACGGATTGCAATATGTCAACCGGCACATAACCGAAGAAACAGCGTCATAATAAAGAATGAAAACAAAGGGGAGAAGATGGAAAGTTGACTCAAAAAGTTTTATGTCCCCAGAGACGACGAGCCACATCTACGAGCCTACATGTACGAAGGGGCAGTGTGACAAACACATCTGGGCATCATCACGCATTATTTACTGGGGATATGTTACTGCCAGATAAGCCAGGCTATGTTATGGAGACACTGATGATCAAACATTCGGAAGCGTTTGTAATCTTCAGATCGAAAGAGGCAAGATTTGCAACGATAAAGTAAGACTGTCCTCACATAGCATTTCAAATTCATTGATATTCGTTCCTGACGCCAAACATGACTCAATTTGTCAAGAACGGAAGGCGCACCGGCTTCTCCTTTCACCGTACAATCACCGCTTATGCAGCCGATCAACAAACTCAGGCTCATGGGTTTAGAATTTCAAAGAGGTCCGATGTCTCATGTGGTGTTAAGCCAACCGACCACCTCAACCTATATTACGCCTGACAACGGTTAACCCACCTCATCAAATGACTCACGTCCGGGCTAGTCCTGTGAGCCAAAGTTTAGCTCAGACAGTGCGGCTTTCGAAAAATGTAGGTGCTTGCTGTACCCACTGCATCTATATTACTTTCCATCAACGTAAGTATGCCTTGCCAGATTAATTGTGGCTTTATTCGTTAGTTCTAGAAACTCAAACAAACATTTATGAAAATTGCTCCTCGCTTTACTATACGAACCCTAGCCGTAGTAGTTCAGTTGGTCGACTGCTTTCCGAAAACACCCATCAGCGTCCACTACAAACTTCTGACGAGGGATGGTTTCATAATTCAAGCAACTACTGATCCCGACACCCTTTGAAAAAAGGGCATGTCAGGGGTATGACAAAAAACGGTTGTTTGTGGTGCAGCACTGGTTAGTATCACAACATCCCTTAGCTATTTCTCTTGATGACATAGGTCCGGGCATGAAATTATCTAGGGAACGAAATTACGGGTAAACAAGTTTGCTCACCTCATCCATCACAGGCTCCGACAACAATCCATGTTTCTGTGCACTAAATAAAAAGACGATCAATAATGACGTGAATAAAAGTGTACCAGGTAGAATGAAAATAGGTCCGACAAAGTCCAGCGTCACATCCGATACATACACCGGTCCACGCGAAAAATCGTTCCTCGCAGAGCGAACACTCGCGTGACGCCCAAGATTTCAGAGGAAGCTCGGTTAAAGTGACCTGATACGGGGCGGACAATTTTTTTACTGGGTCGATCAACTTACATCCATCAGATCATCGGGATCGTTGAAGGCTATGCCTGGAGTGTACAGAGCGCAAACCAGGTGTACCCATCGATTGTTATCAGTCCGCTTGAAGGCTCCAAAAGTATTTGGACATAATTCACAATACTAAGGAATCCACTTGATAAATTAGTAACCTACCGGGTTCTTAACACCAGCCAAACAAGGTTCACAAAACCAGGCGTCTGTGCTAGAGGAGCTGGCCCCACTAGACATGAAAATTGAATCAACCACCTTGTAGCAATCTGAGAACCGAAAACGCTTTAGGGGTTGGAGAGAGAATTACCTTCGTGAACAACAATCCCACAGCCATCGCATTCGATTAGTTCGTCGTTTGGGTCGTTACTGTCACCCAAACAGACCATACATACGAGGAAATTGGTTGGCTTTTTTTCCTGCAGTGCCGCGACATTTCCCACAGCGGGCTGAAGGCACACATTAGTCGTCACTTTGGCATCCTCCGATTCTGGTGCTAAAGTGCTTTGATCATCCTCCGGTAGATTCCGGGATTGGTCCAATTCTTTATCCGAGATCGTCGCTTCATTTTCACCCTGATCCGATGGCTTTTCGGATACTACTGTGGATTCCATCATGTTTGCTTGTACTACGTCCTCATTGGATGACGAGGAATCTGACTCATCCGAGCTGGAGCTGTCGGCAGAATCACTATCTTCTTGCTCCGTATCTGCTTGCGCACAACAAATAACAAGAGGATAAATTGTTGCATTTACCCTCATCCTCTTGATCTTCACAGACAAATTCACTGTCGCTATCATCGTCCAAATCATCAAACAGTTCAAGCGGAGCTGTGGTGGCGACTGGCTTTATTTGTCTTTTGGACGGGTCTCGGCGAGCTGATGACCATGAGAATGTAATAAACGTGACAAGACACTCACCTATCGCATGAAACAGCTGTTCAACATCGGGTTCCTTGTCCGCACCGCCACGTTTCACTTCTCGGTTGCTCATTAGGGAATGGATAGGAAAGGGCTCTGTACACGAAAATGAGAAGTAAGAATACACATAAATGATGCAAAAAGCACAACGGATATCACTCTGCGAGCATTGCCAAACGAGTCTGCTTCACCGAAATCAAAACAACTCCCTGATGAAGTGGGAAAACTTAGGTCTAAGTTTGAATGCTGCAGAACTATGAGCTGGACCATATCGTCACAACATCTGAGACATAAGATCAATTTTCTTCATGAGCTGTCAGTTCAGTGCCTCCAATGAGATACTAACCCAGGAGTGCTCCGGACTGGTTAACTGTCGTGACCGTGAGCTAGCTAGCTGTTTAGCCCCCTCCGACGAATGACGAACAGGCTACCAATAAGCCCAACCAAAATCTCACAGCTAGGCCCTCGTTTGGGAAAATACCATTTAGTAACCCGGTGTAGTTCGGTAAATTGGTTCTGCCAAATGTCTCAGGTCAGTATCAGCAGAATAAACTCTGATCGAGCCAACGTCATTAGAATGGCTCCCACGCTAATGTAGGTACACGCAACACAACTGCACATGGGAGCTTCGGTTTTCCGGTACCATAAGGCGACTTCCGTTCACAACACAAGACTACTCGCATCTTTCCGACGTGAAAAAACTGCACTTTATGGAAAATGACGACTTGTTCACTTCCATAACCGACTGGGCTACCTTGTGGAATGTGACATTCGCAGACCTTCCTTTATCAGCAGCTTCCTATATCTGGTTGGTCAGCGGGTAGATGTCCAAGTCTTCTGGTCCATCAGGAACATACGTGGCGACCTCTCCTTCAAAGTGCAGGCTCCTCCCATTGCTTTGCGCCAACCATCGTTGCCTTTCGGTCAGGTTATTGAGCGAAAGGCTCTGGGCGAGGAATTACATCGTCCTCCTGTCTGTCTAATAGTATATATATATATATATGGTAGTACAACACGAAGTACGCATTGACAAATAGTCTCATATCAAGTAGGTTGTCCCGTAGTTCCGCCTTGTAAGGCACTGCTGCAACCAAGAAGCCCAACCCGCATACGACTGGCCAGATCAGGCTAATTGACTGTCCAGCACCAAGATGAGCTCTGAGTGGCCGAATGCCGACTGCTAGTGACGCGTCCAGGTGAAATTTCCAGAATATCATCGCCTCTTCAAAAGCAGTTCAGCTGTAGCACCCTTTCGGTGCCAAACTGCCATGCCACCCAAAAGAAGCACGAGAGGGGGCGGGATACTGCCAGTTTGCCCAACCTAGACAGAAAAAGTCGAGATGCAGAAGCCAGGCTCGAACCACGGATCTTCCGCTCAGTAAATTCGCACTGTGATCACTGAGCCATCTCATCCCGAATGTTAGGCTGTCTGGATCGAGCATCTACAGCTCGGCCCTTCTCACCATCTCACGAACACTCTAGTGCGATCCTAAAAAACATTCTGTGATGACCCTATAAATACAGTTTCCATGATTTTCCCTTGTCTTCATAAAAGACTGTACCTCTTAATACACCAAAGCGGGCGGAGCAGGAAGTCAAGGACCGACAGAGTAGTTGCACCACCATTTGAAGTTGACAACACCCATCCCATCAACAACGCTCTGCTTGTTGTCAGAAGGACTACCTCATAACGAACAAATCCACTTTGCTAACGATTTGTATTACATACTGAAACCTGGTTTCTACATTTCAGCCTCTCACTGACATCCCATTGGACTGCTAGCTCTTTTTATATTCCGGTTCAGTTGAATTCCATATCACAGAATGACCCACTTGTCTACAGTATAAATTCCTCGAAGTCGTTTGTCTTCTCCATTCCCGTGAACTAACGAATCTGATTGATAAAGTAACAAAGAGGACACAAAAATTGTGGGCCTGTCCGTTAGGACTGACGAACCCCTTCGTCTTGCATCTGTTTTGCAAGCAATATCTGCTCGTCAGTCTGCACAGACAGCCTTCCGCAGTTTAGCTTTAGGTCTCGATACCCGGTATACCTGACCGTTTCTAATGTTCAAACTCTGAGGCAAGCAGACAACAAGCTGGTCTTGCTCATACATTGGACTCGCTTGAAAATGGTGTGTGCTGTATATCAGAAACAAAAATTCAAGAGGCAGTTACGGTGGCTGAGTGAACCATGCCATCACTCTAATAGCTGCGTAGCTCTGGCGAACCAGAGGTCGCTGCTGCAGGATGTACATGGATCGACACCGTTCTATGTCACCAGGTAGAAGAGCACGTGCTTGATCAGATACTCGTTGGTAGCCACTCCCGTGTGGTTCGTCTAGTGACGTCCGTTGGGGGGGTTCACAAGTGGGAATTTGACCGTTGTCTGTTTGTCATGTCTGCTCATACCCCAACCGACTGTATGTCTGACACCAAAGACAAGTTTTGAGACGCATTGGATGCCCTGTTATGGCAAGCTAAATGCTCAGATATGGTTGATTGCCGGAGACATGAACGTACAAGTAGGCAGGTTCGGCGCATCTGAACCTAAATTAGGAGGTCGACTTAGATTTACATCGGTAGGTTAGGGCAATGGTCAACGACTACTTCGGCTGTATGCTGGCCATCAAATTAATCAATACAATTTGTCAGCTATAAACATGCACCATGGACACAATGGTTCCAGTGTGAAACAGCCAAGGCTTTGTGTTGGCATGTTCAATTAGTTCAGGAACTGGGTAGCTACGCATTGAAGAAAATAACCTTGATGCGCGAGTGCCACTAGCTGCGCGGGTCATTTCTGCCAGTGTCATTAATCAATAATGAATTGAATTCCGGGGTCCTCATTTGGGAGGTAGCAGTTGTCGACGCGACGCAGTTTACCGGTAAGTTTGCCTACTTTGATACCAGTTCATACACTGACCACCTCTCTGTCGCTTCTACTCAGTACAGGGCTAAACGAAAAGAGTTATACGAGACAAATGGTCCTCTGGCATGCGGAATACATGTCCTAACCAGCGAAACAATTGAAGCGTGGACAATTTATCTATCGCGGGAGAGTTCCTTCTTCCTAGGACCACCTGGCGTATCTCAGTATTACTAACCCAATCTTCCCACTAGACCCCAATGTTCCAAAGACACCGATGGCCAAACATTTGTAGGTCCTCTGTGCGTGGAGGCAACGTCTCTGGAGCCTAAAGGAGTGTGGATCGCACAGCCGCAGTGTAAAATCTGTTCTTGGTAGACAAACTCACGTCACGTAGGCGCCATGGGTGTCGAAGGTTGACAAGAGCTGCCCTGGCTTTCCCGATTCGAGAAATAATCTTATCTCCAGCCAGCACACTGGAAGTCATACAACTGCCCAGGTAAACTATTTTATCTACCACATAGATGGGCTCCTTTGCAAGCATGAGGTTTGGGTTTGACCTCACCCAGTCTTGTAGCGGCATTTTGTATTTTAGAAGGAACATCTTTCGTCGCAAGACACTGCCAAATTTTCTCAAGATTGACAAAGTCAAAAGCAGATTTCAGATCAAGAAAAACAATACGGGACGTTTGAAGCAGTGGTGCTGTTCAAGAACTTAACGTAAGATAAAGAAATGGTCGATTCATCCCCGGCCAGGAAGAAGCCCAGCTTGATTCTCACGGATCTTTCTCCCGGTAGTCGAATAACCTGTGCAAAATAATACCAAACAGCACCTTGGATGTGATGGATACCAGCCTGTGTGTCACGATGGTTTTCCAATGACGCTCTTGCGCCCTTTTTGAAAACTGAGATGACAGCTGAGGAGCTCCATTCGGCTGATATTTTCGTTCCAAATCTTCTGCAGTATGGGTATCACTGTTCACCAAGACCTCGCCACCTTCTTTGAACAGTGCTTGGTACAGGTTATTCACGCGAGACATCTAGTCGTGCTTGAGGTTTGATAGCTCGTGCTAAATTCGTTTTTGATAGCGAGCTGGTGCCGATGTTCCATTAAGCCCGCTGGGTTCCTCCAGCTCCATCAATAACTCCTGTCATAGTTGTACGATAGCGAAGCACCAGTGTTGAATACTGATTTCATGCTCTCGATGGTGATGTGGACGCAAAGGATAATGGCACTTCCAGGGTAACCAAACCAAAAAATGTAGCTTCGTTGAGGTAGCCCACCTTGGATCTTTGGCCCCTCAGACAGTGGGAGGATGTAAGGTTGTTTGTTCGAGGACCCTGCCCTTAGTCTCTGGCTCAAAAGTCAGAACCGCAAGTCAGTGGTCGTTAGAGCTGTCTTTGTGGGCCATTGCGGGAGTCAATGAGTCAATAGTTTAACCCACTTGGCTACAAGTAGCCGACCTGGTCCGGAGAAGCAGGAAGTAAGGCATTGGCGTCGCAATTCTTGTGCGGCTGCGCACAGCGGATGTCTTTTGAGTAGCACCAGACTCCGGTTTTAAAATCAACTCGACTTTACTGAGTAACATACCGACGGTTATGGTCAACTCTTGGACGATCAGGGTGTGAGGTTTTCAGGTAAAGTATTCTAAACCGTCCTTCCTTAGGAAAAGGCAGTACCGATGCTTCCATAAATACGGGGTACGTGCTTTGGCTAAAACCGCTTATGTGTACTACCTGTCTGAAACGAGGATGAGACCCAAGTACGGCTGTTCAACTAATATCCCCATCGGTTTCCGTTCGCTTCTGGTTGCACAACTTTCGTGGTCCGGAATCTGCTGCAGCATGTTCTGCCATGGATGAATGGTCGTTCAGCTGTAACACCCTTTCGGTGCCTAGCTGCCATAACACCAGGAAGGAGGGCCGGAATACTGCGTTCGCCCAAGCCTAGATAGGGCAAGTTGAGAGGCAGAGGTTGGTTTCGAACCATGGACTTTCCGGTCAGTAAATTCGCGCTCAGACCACTGAGCAATCTCGCCCCCCTCCCAAGCCATGCAAAATCCAGGGCGTATCTCTTATGGAACAGCGCAAATAACTACACCGCAGCAATGTCTTTCGGGAAGCACTCGGAAATCGCTCGAGGCTCGGAGCAGTTGGATTAGCCATTGAGGTATTCAAGTCATTGGCGTCGCAATTCTTGTGCGGCTGCGCACAGCGGATGTCTTTT